TGATAATATTATTATTATTATGTTTATATATTATGAAACTATGAAAGATTGTTGTTTATATTATAAAATAAATTATCTTTTAGATTTGATTAATAACATAAAGCGATAAAACACCTGAGTGATCTGCCAAAATGGGGTTCCTCCCAGGATGATTTTCTATAGGAAACTGGTCCCTATTTAGGTGTTAGACATGTGAAGAAAATTTGGAAAAACCTGGCACAAACCTGCAACAAACTATTAGTGTTTGGTGGTTTGTCTACTCAACCACTGATGTGCCAATTTTTATAAATAATGCATAAAAGATACAAGCTAATTATAAAATATGATTTTTGAGAGAGTCAATCAATCCAATATATTGTCTTTAGTAACTTTATTATGTTAAATAATATATATTCATATAATAATAATGTTTTAAAACCTTACCCTAGGAGAAAAATCAAAAGGTTCCAGTCCACGACATTCAAACATAATTACGGTTTGAAACGATTCATCCGCCGAAGAATAAGCAGTCAAAGAATCTTTAATAATATCTATGAAAAACTTGAAATTAAAATTGATAGAATGTTAAAAATCATTAAAATTTCAATTTAATTCACTTTAATAATTTTAGTTTTCAGACAAAACTATACTATTTAAAAATCAAAACATATTTTTATAACTGTTAAATTAGGATAGAGTATTGTAATATCTGCAAGCTTAAATTAAATAAGAAAATACTTTCAAAATTCAGTGTTAAAAAAAGGAGAGAAAATGCATGATAAAAAAGTTATATACGCTTTTGTTCTTTTCATTAATTGATTTCTTTAAATAGTCAATTCTATTAGATACTATTAAACTATGTTATGTAATATCTGTATGAGTAATAGCCTGAGGAATAAGCTCACATTATTTAACCTAAGATGGCTTTATAATCTTACAAATATCTTTTGATTGTTTTTACAAAATTATCTTAACAGTAAATTGTCTAAACCTATTATTTAAATCTGTTTCCCAAGAAGAAACTGAACAATAGATTTTACAATATCTGATGAAGTTTATTACAGTAGATCCTTGCTAATCCAATCATTCCTTGCCTAGAGATGTGCCAGATTAACAAGAGTTCACAGTAGTGATTGATATGGCTTATCATCCTTTTGACTGATTTTTTGGAAACAGGCAGGAAATAAAATGAAGTACTAACATGCAATACTGTACACAGAAATGGAATTCTAGTAACAAACAATTTTTATACTTTAGAAATATATTTCCAATATAAAAATTTACTGAGTAAACATAATCATAATACTCTGACTAATGAAATTAGATGTCTCAGACAAGACTAATTCTAGGATTTTCATCCTGAGAGGATGGAAATTGAGTGAAACATTGTTTTAGGGGGGTGGATGTTATCTGTGTATTTTATCATCAACAAACTAATACTTAAAATTTAGTGATTGATTTTTAATAAGATAAAAGCTTAGTCAGAACATGAAATTACTTAGGAAACAATCAATTTTTGAAGAAACTGACAAATAATGTGTGAGGGTCGGACCGAATAAAATAAAATTAAATAAAGAAGCTCAAATTAAATTAAATATCTTTATTAAAGTTAAACAAAGAAAAACTTCATTTTTCGAAATTTTACGAAAAAGGATATATACATTTCCTTCCCACGGAGCCGTTTCCTATCTCTCGGAAAACCGAAAAATGATTCATGAGGAACTTATCCTAAAAATCGCCGATTGGTGAAACGCCAGTAACGTGACGAGAGGGATAAAAGAGGGGTGACGACGAGTAAAAGGGGTCCGTCGTCGCCGTCCGTGAACACGGTCCGTCATCACCATTCGGGATTGCTGAAACCCGTGCCGATCCTCATCGCTGCCGTCCGTTCCTCAAGACAACTTGTCCGATCCGGTTAGAAAACGTCTGATCGTCCAATCCCCTCCTCGTAGAGGTATGATACCCATTAATGTAAACTCTCTCTCGGCGCGTTTCCCTCCACTCCCGCGTGTCTGCTCGAGATAAGCTCAATGTAATTATGTTAGTTATGTTATCGTCTCAATAAATGTTGTTTTGTTGTTAAAAGTCGTCTTTATTTCGAGTATCGCTCACACTTTACCGATGACCCCTCTCACCTCCTCCACTCGACCTGACAAAAGAATCCCGACTTTACGGGATAGAAAAAGCATTTTCTAAGCCATCCACTGACCAGTGGGCAGTTCTCACCGAACTGTTGCCTATCAAAAAGAGGTACGACCTCGTCCTACCTCAGGCTACCCACAAATGGTTTGTATAGATAGACTTAAATGAATTATTTCAGAGGGTGGATGGGTGGGTGAAGAGATTTGAAAATGAGCTTGAGGATTATTGTTTCAGCAATCAATTTTCACTCCAGCAAACATTAAAATTACAAAACTAGTGTGCATATTTAACTACATTTGTCAGCCAAATTTAGATACACATAGAGAAAAAAAAACAGAATGAATGACTACCTGATAAAATGTCACAAGTAAATTCAATTTAACATATTTAAAATTAAGCAATTATTGAAACTAATCGAGAGATTTAACAACTATAGTTTTGTTTTATTTTATTGGTTATTTCTTTATTTAATTTTGTGAATATTTTCATGTAGTTGTTAAACTTATAATTCTAATAATTGTTTAATTGTAAATTGAATTTAAGCATAAATTATTTTCTATTCTCTGTTCTGTATTTTAACACGAAGATTGTTAAACACAACTAAAAATATTTCTTTATTAAAATTATCAAAAATAGATTAATTTTGTATTTTTAATGTTTGTTGGAATAAATTATTAATTATTGAAATATCCAGATTTTACAGACTTACAAGTCTAGAAGCTACAAGTGATTCTGTTTTTTTCAAGTTCAAGTTACAACAGAGTTATAAGTGTTTGGGTTATAAATATTTAAATGTATCACTTCAATAAAGCATTATTTTTCTTTTATAATTTTAAGTTTTGAAATATTTGATATTAAAGAAATCTTCAAAGATTTCTTTAATATAAAATATTCTGACATTATCAATTTACTCAAAATATAAATTTTATTTGTTTTTATATAAAAGACATACCAACAGAATTTTCTCTTCCACAGAGTTTACATTTACTGACCAAATTAGCTTCTCCTCTGCTTCCTTTCATAGGTATTTTTTCCTATTAAAATATTTAATATATAAATAAAACTTTTAAAAATATGTGGGTACATAATTAAAATAAAATTATTAACTTATAATTTAAGAAAACATGTTCTTCAATTACAATTTTTATCAAAGATGAACTACAAAAAAGTGAGAAATAAATAGAAAAGCAAAATAGTTTTTCATCCTTTTACATGCTTATGATAAATGAATCTATAGTAATTGGACCTATAAATTTCCACTTGCATCCATCTGTCTCTCCTTTCTTAATATTGGGGAGTCAGATAGAAAGTTGAGACCAAATAGGGAAAGCTTAGGGGCAGGAGGCCTCGATTAACCATACACAAACTTCCGGTTTGGACTGGAAGTCACATTATTTCAATTAAAAATTTTTCCTGAACGGAGTTAGATAGATGACTGGCATGACTCTATTGTTAACAGGAAAAGTATAATGTACAGGGGCAAGATACTACTAAAATTGAGAGCATTGTGATGAAAAATTTTGGCCCAGTATTAAGTTATGATGAAGTCACAATAAATTACTGTTTGTTCAATTTAAGATTTTTATTTAAATGTTCGTAGAATTTAAATTAAAATTTTCAGTACAGTATAAAATACATACAACATGAATAGAAAGAATTGTTTTCATGGAAAAACTGCTATTAAAATGTAGTACATATTTTAAGCATACTATGCACAATTTCACTATCCTTCACATTTAAGTGATTTAAATTAATAGGATCCACTTATTTTCAATTTGGGACTCACCTGTACTGATAACAATAACCAACTCATAACACTAAGAAAGATAAATAAGGTTTACACCAAACAGAATTCTAATTTTATTGACTCTAACATTAAAAATGAATATTAAAACAATTAAAAAATAAAATACTTTCACATTTATTAATTTTAATTCACCCAATCATAACTGAAGAAGCAAATGTTAGCAGCAACTATTGTACTTTGAGCCGAATACCGTTAAAATGATTAACATTTAATGCTTAAGGCAACGATATTGATTTTGCAATACAAGTTGCATTTAAAAGCTGCCTTTTCATGAAATTTACCTGAATATAATGATATCAATAACTGAAATGCTGATTATAATAAGCAGATTCTACCATATATCCAAATTAATTGACAAAATACTTAAGAAAAACTATTGTAATAATAGAATTTTATTATTGTACTAGCAAATAAGCCTGATATTGCTTGGGCAAACAATTTGGATGATTTAGTAAATATTGTACGTTTGGAAATTAAGTTATTACTATCAACGGTAATCTTCAACAACCATAGTAATTGTTATATAACATATACTCCTTATTGCTGAGAACTGTTTTACTGCTTAAAACGAACGATGTTTTCAACCTGATCAATATTATGGAACATTTAAAATCGTTCTATAATAGAACCAATATGCAATATCAAATTTGAATTTAAAACAGTTCAAACATTTGGTTAAAAAAATCAAAATATATAAAAATATTTATAACAATGTCTGAAATGTTATCAATTTAATACACCTAAGAACTCAATGAAGACTAAATGTAGTTAAAAACAAAAAATTGCATCTAAAATAGTACAGTAGAAGCCATTCTTCAGGTTAAGCCTTAATCGTATCCCTCTCCCCCTGCGGGGGAATTTCAAAAAATTCCTTCTTAGTGTGCATTTTCATGACGTACCCTAACTGTGTACCAAATTTCACCACTTTAGGTTCAGTGGTTTCCTCTGGGCAATGATGAATCAATCAGTCACTCAGTCAGTCAGGAGAAGTAATTTTATATATTTAGATAAATATAATAACCAATCCTAGATTTTATTTATAAGACATCTTGATACTAAATTTTTCAGGATATATTTTATTACANTATTGCCATTTTTCTGTTTCTTCTCCACAATTCATGCATCTTAACTAATAAAGAAAAGAATATATAAGTAATAATATTCTTTTAGAAAATATAAAACTTCAGGTTCAGTGGTTTCCTCTGGGCAATGATGAATCAATCAGTCACTCAGTCAGTCAGGAGAAGTAATTTTATATATTTAGATAAATATAATAACCAATCCTAGATTTTATTTATAAGACATCTTGATACTAAATTTTTCAGGATATATTTTATTACATGAATTACCATATTAAGATTTTACTATATCAAACAGCTAATTGGACTGCAATTTGAAAAACTTGTAGACCTATAAATTCCCACTGTTGTCCATCTATCTGTCCTTCCTCAATATCGAGAACAGAGTTAGATAGATGAAAGACAAGACCAGATATGGAAAGATTAGGGGCAGGAGGCCCCAATTAACTATAAAATAAATTCCGAAGCAAATCAGAAGTCAAGTTATTTCAATTAAAAAATTTCCCTCTGAAAGGAGTTAGATCAGGGTCGCCAAAGTGATCAATATCAACCCCCAGGAGTCGATGCAACATCACTGGGGGGTTGATTAGGGGATCGATTGAGGGGTCAATGTGGCTAAGGGGTTACAACCTTTTTTTTTTTTTTTTTTTGCTTATACAGAGACCACAACGTTTTTTTTTGCTCATACACATACACTTGTAATAAAACTTTACAGTGGGGGTCAATGTGAGGCTTTGGAAAGTGATTGGGGGTCGACGGTTATAAAAGTTTGGCAACCCCTGAGTTAGATAGATGACCAGCACAATTCTATTGCTAACAGGAAAAGTATGATGTACAGGGGCAAGACACTACTAATTTTAGGTGAACAGCATATATTTTAAATAAAATAAATTTTAAAAAATATGATTAAAAACCAAATTATTGATAAAATTATTTATCGTGACATCGTCATGATAAATAATTTTATTAATAATTTCTAAATATAAACCAAACACTATTGATTTTTTTGGCTGTAATTAAATAACTAGAAATTTTAAAATAAATAGAATTTTGCTTCAAATAATAATCTTTAAGTTTAAATTAAATATTTCTAAGGTTATAAAAATATCACTCTAAATTGTTACTTTAGAATTTTTGTTTTGTTGTGAGTTTCTCTATCCAAGTCTTTTTTCTCATGGTATGAATAGAAATAAGTGAACTGTCTAAACTTTTTATGAAGCATTTAAATATGTTAAAGGCCAGCATTGTTTCCTCAGAATCATTAACTAAATAATTAAAACTCCTTTACTATTCTAATTTAACTGGAGTCAACAACAACAAATGAGAAACAAAGGACTAAGCCCTTTGAAACTTTATATATATATATATCCATTTTCAGAGTCCATATTGAACTGTTTGAATTCCCATTTGAATATTCTTTCTTGTTTAAAACATATTCTTAGAGATTAAATCAATCATGTATCTGCTCATCCTAAAGGCTAGTTCACAGTCCATTTGATAATGGTCTAACAAGTAAGCCGGAACCACACAGTATATAAAGATACTGAAAGCACCTTAGAATCTCTAAGGTGCTTTCAGTATCTTCAAAAACCTGACGAAGGCTTATTAATCAGTCTGAAAATATTAGTTTTATTAAAAATTCATTTCTGGAAAAATACATAAGGTGTTTTCAGTGTCATTACATCATAGTCCATTCCCATTAGACAATGCAGATGCACTGAAGGTTGTGAACAACATTACAGTATAGTTCAACAGTTCATAATCATTGAGTTGAATAGATACTTGCTTACATATGAGGGGAAATAAAAAAAAACACATTTCTAATTCTATAATGTGTATAGTATTTATTCAAGGTTAGCTGTTATTTATCCTTTGCTAAATCAAGAACAATATCTATCATAAGATCAATATGACAAAATCATTTGAATTAAGAATTAAATATATAAAATAAATCTATCTATTACTCTACACTAAACAAACAGTTTTCAATTTTTATCCATATAAAACTTTTTAAATTTTTACTTTTTTTCAACCTTTTTACTCTAATTGCAACTCTAACTGATATATAAAATTGCACGATTTTTTTACTGCAATTATCATCCACGGCTCAAATATTCTCTTTTTTATATTTGTACAAGAGGAGATGATTAAGCACTTGTATTGAATGCTGAACAGATGATACCATCACACAATTCCATCGGTTCTTGGACCAATGGAAATAAGGCAAGTTTTATAACAAACTAAACTTTCTGTTAGACCATTGCAAAGTCCATTGCCAATCTAACAGCACATACTAAAATATGACCACTAACACTATAAATGCTGTAACAGATGTAAATGGAAAAAATCTTCATAGACTGTAAATCAGCTTTAAAATAGAACTTTGTTTAACTCTCTACATTCTTTCAGTTCTAAATTTTTTCTATATCCCTTCAATTATTTTTTGCTTTTTCTTTACCCTTCTTCACAAATTATTTCCAATGACAATGATATTAATTAATGTTAGAGATGTTGACATATTGTCAATTTGGAAATGAATTGTGAGGAAGATAAAAACAAGAAAAATAGCAAAAATTTGAAACAGAATTTAAAAAGCTAAATAAAATGATGTTTTAGAATGAATGCACACATATTTAGATTTAAACTCCAAAACTATGTTCTAAACAAGAAAGAATATTTAAATGAGAATTCAAACATTATGATACAAACTTTGAAGATGAATGAATAAACCAGAAAGTGCTTACTTCTTTGATTTTTGTTGTTGACTTCAATTAGAGCAGAATGTTGAGTACTTTAAAAGCTAAGAAAATTTTAAAATTACATACCAAAATAACAATATATTGCCATTTTTCTGTTTCTTCTCCACAATTCATGCATCTTAACTAATAAAGAAAAGAATATATAAGTAATAATATTCTTTTAGAAAATATAAATTAACTAGAGCATCTTATATTGTTTAAAAACCAGCAAAGAATTAAAATTTTATAAAAAAAAAATTATATATAAATCTGAACATATTTGAATGATTTGTATAGTATTTTAAAATTTTCAAGGTATGTAGACTTGAGAATGATCTATTGTAGGATCAAAAACATTCAATAAACATTTGTACTGGTTTTCAATGCTTTTTAAAACTAATATCATTTCAATATACCAGTTTTTACTAATAGAGCACAAGTACTTAAAGCTGACAATTAGAATAAAAAACAAATAATGAAACTTTTTAAATCTTACATCATATATGAACATGTAAGGTAGTAGAAATTCCTATATTAGAACTAGACTTTAATATTAATATTGTTCGAGTTACATAACAATTGTTGTTCGTAGCTACCTGAGAAAGTTTCCCATTACATTTTCTCAAAGGCAACACGATGCTTTCTCACGATCTTTTAACCTCTGGACGACCGATATCATCCGTGAATATCGCCAGAGATGGCCAAAAAAAGTCAGTTGTCGTCTGTCCCTCTGATAAAAGGAAACCCGCACAGATTACTCCAGGAATATCGTCGACCAGTGCCCATTTGGATACCTTGTACCATCATTGTGCTAGTGGATATTATAGTGGAACTAATCACCATTGGAACTATTATCAAACAATAAGAGCTCCATTGGGAGATCACCTTTTATCCCCAGGTATTTATGCAACTTGCGCTCGTTATGTGAACTCTCTCTCTCTGCAACCAACTTTAGAACCTCTGTATCTTATCCAATTTATTTTTAATTAAATCCTTAAGTGTTAATTGTAGTTCAAGTCACTTCCATATGCTGTCTCTCGATAAGCTGACATTACGAATCCGTCTGTCCACTTATGGGACCACTTGCGCGACGGTGTGACGTAATAATTGCTGTCTCAGCTTCTGTGTTCCAATAAACACGGTGGTGTCAATCCTGACAGGGCACTAAACAGGTGCTGATCTGAAAGGTCACAAACAGGTTAAACAAGGCAATATTGTAGCTGTGTTTATAAATCACTCTAGTCCAATAAATAGGTTTGAGAAGAAAATATATACCTTGCTTGTATGTAAGTTATGTATTTTATATACGTACAAATAATATAAACTACTGTATATGCATAGTTCTGAACTCTGAATAAACTTGTAACTAATGATCTTAGGAATCATAAAATAAAAGTCAATAAAAGATAAAGGGAATTCCTTAGATATATGGTTATGGATTACTGTTCATTATCCAATTAGTGCTCACAAACATACATGTGATTTATATATAATTTTCTTGTTAAATGTCAAACATTCTTGTTATTTTCTTGTCCAACAATTACTAAATTATTATTAGAAATGTTTAACTAATCCTTTTATATACATGGCATTTATTAAGGTCTTGCCAAAGTTTAACAGCATGATCTATGAGTCATAAAAATGAAAAATTCCATGTAAACATTCAAACATTCATTCATTCTCTCTCTCTCTCTACTCCTTTCTTTCTTTTGCACTGTACCAATTTATTACTTTATTGCTCTGCTAATCCTTTACTTTTTGGTCTAATTGTAAGCATGTAGGCAAGCGTATCAGGCACTCTTTCTCATAAACAAGATTCTTCTATGGTACTCAGTGAAGGTTGAGCAGCAAAACCAAGCAGATCTTCATTGCTTGTTTTTCTATACGTATTGTTTCATGTCATTAGTGTAGTTTGCCTCGAGTAATTTGTTTAATATATAACCTGTTTACCACCGCTACATTTACATAGTGTTTGTTATTTCATTTATATATGTACATTGTATTTCTATTGTTCTTTTATACAAAAAAATAATAATAATATATGTACAGTACACATATAATAATAAATACAATATTGAGTTATTAATTATGTAGTTACACTTAAGCAATTTAAAAATTTGACTTATGTAAAATGTGAGTTACATAAAGGTCTACAGTCGCAGAGTTACTTACATAACTCGAAGTATTACAGTATGTATATTGAAGGATCAGACTAATGACAATCAGTAAGAAAAATTTCTCAATTTCAGGTTTTGAGTGGATATAAAAATAAGGTATAAAGTGTGTTTGTTTCTAATCATAATTTTTGTAGTATGGTTAGAATGACCATATTCTTTATCCCTCAAACTGGGAAAGATTTTATGACTGAGTAAAAAATGAATATAAAAATGGCTAAACTCAGATTATTTTCTAAAGGTTATTTATACAGCAGTCTTGTACAATGTGGTGATATGTTCTGCACTATAGGAAATTGTGTTATCGAGACATGGATTATCATACAATTTTATGCAAGTTTAAACCTAGGACTAGGAATTGAAGAAAACTCACAAAATTTTGTACTAATCACAATTTTTTCATCACATTATACAAATTTGCATTATATGAGAGTTCACTGTATATTGACCTATAAATTGGTTATATTGCATTAGAAGACTTGTAAAATTGTTCTATTTAAAACTTTTATTTCTCACAGTTAAAACAGAAAAAATCTGGGAATATACTGGACAATTTGAGTCTTACAATTATGGTATAAAATATATATACTCGTATGTGTTTGTGTGTCTTGAGAGGAGGACAATTTGTCAGCACAAACATATTTGGGAAAATATGTTCCCTCTGTCCCAAATGGATTATTGACACTCATGTCATCAAGAATCCATCAAGTATTTAAATAGTGAACAATTAAAGGCCCAACTAAATCACTCATTATACTAAAGGTTAACTATACTGTATATGTAAAGAACAAAATTGTTCACTATATCGAAAGTTTGTTATATTGGACAGTCACTGTAACAAGAATCTACTGTAATGACTTTTACAACTAAATAATATTTATCTTGGTTCATTCGAGAATGTTTTTTTATACATTTATGTATAATTTTTACAATTATCTGAAATAGAATCTTAAATTTTCAAGAAATGGCCTACTTCAGTATCCATAGCATTAAAGTGTTATGATAAAATCAAAAGTAACTGTTTTTTGTCTACAGGTCAGAATTAATAAGAACAGACCACCACAATGGAAAAAGCTTGTCTCATTATAATGACAATATAAATAAAAACAAAAATCTTTGATATTGGATATCATTATACTAAAAATTTAATTTTGTATTTCTCATCTGATTTGCATATAAATTGAATAGTATATGAAAAAAAAGCAAATCAGCTGAAAACAAATAACGGTAAAATAAGTTTCAAGAGTAGGAAAGATGTCAACAGATGTTATAAATCAATCAGGAATGAGATATTCATAAATGATTAACAATATACTATTTTCAATTAAAAAGGCAAACAATATATTTAACAATAAAATATGAAATAAAAATTATAGGGAAAGTAAAGCAAAAATCGGGGATGTATACCGGTCTGTGAATGGAGTCCAGGTGAACTTATCCGGTCAACAGCCGTAAGAAGTCGATCAATGACCCTTTATAAACATCTCTTTCCTTAGATAAAAGAGAGTTTTATACAAAGTTTCATTGTCAAGAAAAGAAAACAAAGATAACAATACTTCAGTTTTCTACAACATCCAATAGAATTTTAAACCCTCATAAAGACTGTAGACGTGTATCAACAGTATAATTTCTATGTTTTTATATTCTCATTTCAAGAATGGTTTAAGGAAGATTCGGCCTTTCACCTTCTTGACCACCTGTTAAACCAATTATTTTAATCAAGCTTTTTCCCTGTAAATTAATCACGACCCTGTTTAAAAGAGGTTAGACGGACAATGAAGCCCGCTCTAGAAAATAAAGAGACGATTCTTTCATGATTGGGATCGACGCATCGTTTCACAAATTATATAGTAGGACTACTTCATAGAAAATTCGAATTACGATATTGAAGTATCCTTAATAGTTCTATTAAAAAGAACTGTTAGTAAGAATCGTATAATCTAGTACTATGCAGTCGCATAGAGGCCTGCGAGACCTCGGGCCCTTAGACATTCTTCTGTACTAGATTTATATATTTTAAATTAAAAAAGAAAATAGAAACTTGTGATTTTTACCTCTGTAAAAAACATATATGTTGCAGATAGGGAACCCTTTTTCTTGGAGTTGTGTAAATCCGGGGAGGCGCAGAAAACTTTTAGAGGCCCAATAGAGGCCCAAGAGTTCTAGTTACGCCACAGGCACAATTATGATAAATTTTAGAACGTATAGATTATCTTGAAAGGGAAGTTTGAGCATTATAAATTTGGTATATAAAGTATAGAAGAAGGTATTAAAAAATTTTTAAATTTACTAAAGAAATCTACGCTATATATAACTTGTTTAATCTATATCATTGAATAAAGTTAAACAGGATTATTTTTTTTGAATATAAAACTTATATATACACACATATAGAGTTATATATATTTAAGATACAGCCTAAGGCCCACATTCTATGTATTGAGCAGCTTATTTTGGTTGATTCATTCGTATTAAAACAATATTTTATCTTTAATAATCCTTTCTATTTATATATTTGAACATATTCTAGATAATTTCGAATATTCTAAACAATTTCCTTGTCTTTATAGTTACTTATTTAGTTAAAGTATTGTAATCAAATTAGTTATTAATAGATAGCAATTAGAAAAAGAAAATAAAAAAATTCTTGGCTATAACTTTGTTTTCTCAAGACTATAAAGTTAAGGAAAATGAAGAAGATTGTATTGAATAATAATCATCGTAAGCAATAAATATGAAAAACTTATACAGGAAATGATAATATAGAACTGGAAATATTTTCTTTTAAATCGAACTTGTGCAATATGATAGAGTTTTTTCCACTGAAATGACGTAACAAACGAACAGTTCAAAAAACAAAATAAATATTGTAAGGTTGAATGAACTCAGAACGGCTTAACTTCCTACACAAAACTTCTCATAGCTAAACAGGTAGATCGGCCTTTCTAACTGTATATAATAAATATTTAAAAGAATAAATCCACACAGCACATTCTATTCTAAAATCGTATAAACATATAANAATTATAAAATTAATAAACAATTTAAGACTATGTAATAAAAAGTCTTTCCTTGTCCTTTTTCACATCAAGAAAATTGTTTGTGAATTTTACAATTACTGTCCTGGCAATTTTTATTATTATGTACATATATTTTTAAAGGTTTAGATTGATGATTCACTGCGCACGAGCATCACTAGTCACCTACAATATCCTATAAATCGAATACAGTCTTCGTCAAACCAACAACCTACAATTTGTCAAAAGGTCCGATATCTAGTCCGACCTTCAACCGCAGGTAAATTTACTTTCACATAGACTTCAGAGCTGCACTCGTACCTTTAAAGGTACGAGTGCAGCTCTAGAGGTTGGACTAGAGGTCTAACCTTTTGACAAATTGTAGGTAATCCGTTCAACGAAGAGCATATTTGACTTGTATAATATTTTCATTTGGTGACTAGTGATGCTTGTGCACAGTGAATTGTCAATCTAAATAACTAGTCACTCGAGACCTTCAGAGCCATATCAGAGGGTCAGAAGTCCTCATTCGGGTGCACTTACACCTGCAAACAAGACAGCTGAGAGCTTATTGGTGTCGTAGACCATATGTGTAGGTGGGAAAAAGTCAAAGGAACCATCACATCTCATTCAGAACTGCAATTTTATTTCCTTGAAGAGCTCTAGGGATATCATTTTTTATGTGACATTTGATATTAAGTACTCCAGTAGTGCAGAATAGAATGTCAAGATTGGAGAGCAGTCATTAAACTTTGAATTGAAGGCAGACCACAACTTACTTTTAAATGCCATCTGTAATCATCTCCATCAGGAATCAAATTAGTAACATTTTCCAAATTCGCTTTTAACTGGAGGCCAATTTTCTAAAAATAAATATTAATTTTTATAGAAATTTTAAATGTATTTTAAATAATATTTAATTAATTAATTCGATTTGTACTCACGCCCATTTCAACAGCAAAATAATCTATTTCACTTTTCCCTCTAAAACTAAACTAACGAACTGGTCGATTGATATTTACACAAGTTTCGTAATTACAAAATATAAATAAAAATAAAAATTAAGATTCAAAAAGTAAATTTCATGAAATAATATTTATTTGTAATTAAATTATCGCATAATCTATTGAATTTAATTTATGAAATAATCATCGCATTCCTGTTCGATATAAAAAAATGCATTTATTTTTTTCAAACAAAATTTATTATATAATGTTAAATGCTCNCTCATTTTAAGTATATCATATAATTATAACTTATACGTGCTATCAGAGCCGGTAGAGAAGGAAAGCTAGGAATTTTTCCCCACATCAGAGAAAACTTAGTGGTTCCTATCCCTACAAATTAATTCTATTTTTACTAACAACACATAGACTTTTTAAGACTGCTTTTTATTAATAAAGATTCTACATGTATCATTTGCTTAAAACAAAAATGGAAGAAGGAACCGGCTAAGAAGAAAATGAGGCTCTATCCAGGCCCCATACAAGTGCTCGCCGGTCCTGTGTACTATAGTATAATATAGCTAGTACACTACCTACATATAGGCCCTACGTGTACTGTACGTATGTATAGTGATATATATATATAAATATATATACACTAATAATCTTATATCTACTATACTATAGTACACAGAGCCGTCGAGCGCTTGTATTGAGCCAAGGCATTTGTTTATTAGCGGATCCTTTCTGCCATTTTTGTTTTAAGTAAATGATATATGTGTACACGTGTACGCGCACATATATCATTTGTGTACGTATATGTTCTGTTTAGTATATGTTTATGTATATACATGTGTACATAAGTGTAGTATACACTTATATATGAAAGTATATCATAATGTATCCATGTTTATGTATGAAACTTTTGAGTTTAGAGCAGAAAAACTTCAAATATAACCGAAAGTAACTTTCACATAAGAGTGAAAACACGAATTCATACGAGAAAAACATTATAAAAATTAAATCACGTCTTTCTCTTCACCTTATCACAATTAACGAATAAATATAACCTGCTTAAACTATGCCACATCCTAAATACAAAAGTTGAATAGACCGAACCCACTTTCAATACAGAAACAAAAAATAAAAAATAAAATAAAGGAATTAATGCTCTAAACTCTCAGCAACCCGTTTATAACGAGATAAACGGAGAAAAAATCGTGTTTAAATATCACTTTGTAATTAAATTATCGCATAATCTATTGAATTTAATTTATGAAATAATCATCGCATTCCTGTTCGATATAAAAAAATGCATTTATTTTTTTCAAACAAAATTTATTATATAATGTTAAATGCTCTTTATTAATATCACATGTATATTTCCGTAAATTTAGATGAAATTTTAGAAAATTCAAATCAAAATTTTAAGTTTTATATTGTGATGGCGTAATGTAAAAATGTGCATTCGCTCAGCGCCCTCTACGGGGCGTAATTTTAATTTGCACCGAGTAGCGTTGCCTATGGACACTCGGAGGAACTAACGTAGAAATTAAAAGAAATCCACGCCGCCAGGAATTCTTTAATTTCAACCTTTAAATTATATATTTTTAACATATAATGGGAAATTGCAAACTAAAAAATAATTTCTTTTTTAAGTTTGTAAAAAAAAATATATTTAGTCAAATTTATCTACGTTGAAAATACGCAGAGATTAAATATGGACGGCCGTATGGCCGAGCGGCCAAAATAGCAGCCTACTGCCCTGGGGGGGTCCGAGTTCGAATCCGGACCGGTCGATAAATCCCCAGGAATTTTTCGGGGTGGTCCGTCCGGATATATCGTTCCCCGTCCCTCACCACCCAGCCACTCCATTGTGGGTCTGGCCGAACCCATAATGCGCTTGCTAAAAGAGGCCCTCTTAGTGCCCACAAGGCGAAAAGCGTTAACAAAAGAAAAAGCTTAAACTGGAGATGCGATTGATCCATGTTAGTTAGTCTGTTTTTTGAAACTCCTTTCCGTGGGCACGAAGAGAGCTTTTTTAAGCAAGCCCATTATAAGTTTGGCCAAGCCCATAGTGGGGACGGCATGATGGTGAAGGACGGATCAATCGCCAAAAATTCCTGGGATTTTTTTGGGGGGTCCCCAGAACGCCATCTTTACCGCACGGCCATCTGAATCCTTTGTATTTGTGGATCCAGTTAATATTTTATCAAAATAATCACAGTTGACGGATAATATGAGGTGTTAAATAGTACATTGTAAAGAATTTTACAGTTTAGTTAAACTGGCGTATGTTTTAATTAAAGCGTATTATCTACTCTATACGATATAATTTAGACATAACTAATTAGACGCTCGACTATCTCGTAAGACGAATCTTCCATTTTCACTCTGTAGAAATACAGCTCTAGAATAGACCGACTAATGGATTCTAAATCTGTATTGAAGTTTAAACTGTTGGTTATATTTTATAAACTTTTTTCTTATATTGTTTTAATTTGTAAACAATAGCAATGCATGTATCTTTACATGAAACATTACATACATTTATTGCATGTACTGTGATTTGTGTACATTTATTTTGGAAGATAGTCTCTCTGAGTGCCCATAGATGAAATTTTTAAACACAAAGCTTGAGAAGCATTTCTCCATAGTATAGGCTTTACTCTTGTAACGGAATATTCTCTAAAAAATAACGAAATGAAATTCGAATGATGAAATCACATTGAAAATATTCGAAATATTCAAAATGGTAGACGAAGAAAAAAAGCCGAAATTTTTTGGAACATTTTATGGATTATTTAGATTATTGGAATTTGTAAGTATTGTTTTTAGTAACGAAATAGTTTATTTAGTTAAACGTTTTTGAATTTTTACACTTAAATATTCTGTAATATTTAATAGAAAATATTTACTTGAAAGTTTTATTTTGAATACTTTCTCTTTAAATCTTTTAAAAATCTCTGTTCTATATACTGTATACCTTCATGTATACAGAAATCCAGTAAAATAAGAGCATTGCTTCTAAATTTGAATTTAAAATGAAAAGCTGGCAAGGGCTCTTGCGTACTTTATGGGCACTTCAACAGGAATGTTAAATAAGGGGATCAGGAAGTAAGGAATTCCGATAGCCTTCAATCGTGCTACGATATAAAATTCAAATACTGTAGTAACAAAAGCTTAAGAGGAGTGGTGATTTTGTTGAATTATGAAAACTTTCTGTATTTTTCATGAAAATAAAGAAAGTTTTCGTAATGGACATCCTTTTTTCTGATACAGTATATTGATGGCCGTTTTGATTAAGGCAAGAAGGCGCTTTGACAACGCATTGAAAAGCGCCATTAACTGTATACAATTTTGTAATTATTCCGTAAACAGATTTTTGAGAAATGGCTTGACAACGGGAAATTTACGGGCGCAGAAAAATCGGGTATTAAACTATTAAACTCTTGCCATAGCACCCAGCCATTACGGAGCCTGGCTGAACCCATGACGAATATAATTAAAAGTGCTCATAGGGTGGAAGGGATCAAAAGTGAAAAATATGTAAACTACAACATATATTTCATATTGCAAAAGATAAATATTGTATCAGAAGTCGGGGCCACCAGTGGCCGAGTGGATAAAACCACTGAACACTAGTTGGTCGTGGGTTAGCCCCTGGCCAACAGACTGGCCAAGTGAAGTTTTTCGAGTTTTCTTCACGTTTGTAACACCTGAAAATGGGCCAGTTTTCCTTAGAAAGTGCCCTTCGTCAGATCGTTCACATGTCGCGTATAAACCAATAAAAACTCGAAACGCTGTTAATGATTTTATGTATTAGATCTTAAGATACTGATAAAAGTTTATCATTGATTAAATAAATCGTAATTGTTTTTATTAAATTTGTAATTAATAAGTCAAAGTTTTCAATTTGCATTTTATAAAAAACATTAATTTTTGAAATATTTACAGATATCTTCAATTGGTGGAATAATCACAATACGTATGTCCTTCAATTGCGGTGATTATATAAAAGTGCAATATTACGAATATACTTGTCAAGTGGCATTAATCTTTCTTTGTACATTTTTCATCCTTTTGTTTTCAAACATAATCGAATTTTTCTCTCGTTACTTTAGAATATCATTTTTGGTGAGTATGTAACTTACACAAGATAATTCACGAAATTTTACTTGTACTTATGAAGCAAATTCCTAGAGGTATTTTAAACAAAATAGAAAAAAAAGGCACGAGAATATGATCTATTCTTAATACCTAAACTTAATTTCCTTCAGCTCTTCGAATTCTAAAACGAAATTTATAATCTTGAACGAGGGTGAAAGAAAATCAATAGAAAATACATAAACTGCACAAGTTCTTTTAAAAAATTTTTCGCTCTGTGGGTTCTAAGATGGCTTTATTTCATACCCAACGTGGATTCGTTCATGCCCGTTCGGATGGTGAATGACGAAACTCGACGTACCCAGAACAACCTGCCCATGAAAATTTTCGACCGCCAGATTTCATTCCAAGTCACCAAAGCTTGAAAGTTATTTTTACAACCAGGCCATCGAACTGTATTGCATTCTATTCCAAAATACCACTCGACCCCCCTATAAAACTGTTGATTTTTCCGTTTTATATGAATTCCATGTTGTACAAGTCACTTACATTTTACAAATACGTGTGCCAGGCTGTGAACGGCTCACGTATTTGTAAAATCTAAATGACTTGTACAACATGGAATTCATATAAAACAGAAAAATCAACAGTGTTATAGGGGGGTCGACTGTAAAAATAAAAAAATTAAGGGAGATAGATCAGGTGATCTGAGTGTTCACAGTGGCATAACAGTTTTTCTAGGAAGAAACCTGAAACAATAGTAATCATGTTCGGGTGTCATTTTTTTTTTTTGCTTAAAAATTCCATAAGTGCGGAGAAAACTTCGTGAATCATCGTATAAATTAAAGATTTTCAGAATTTCGGTAATTTGCAATTAAAAGGAATGAGAAAATGCTTGTAAATTGTTTATCAATTAATCGATCGCGCTCAACAAACCAGAATTATAACGATCGAATAGCCGAGCGGTTAAGAAACAATAATTTACAATAGTTACGCTTCGTCATTAATTATTATTTATTATATTTATTCTTTATTTAATGTATATAATTACAGATATTTTTATTCGATCTTCTATTTACCGTCCGGTATGTAATTTCAAGTATATACATTATTTTCGACATTCCCGAATGCCGACGATATAAAACTACGAGGATTACTGCATCTGTAAGTGTTCGGAAACTTTTATATGTAAAATATATAGAATTTTATTAATTAAAAAATTATTTTTGTAGGTTTTTGGTACATTAAGTTACGTATGCTTCTTCTGCGTTACTTCTGCTGATCTTCGTTGGTTTTCGACAAAATTTCGACCTTACTAAAAGAGATTACTAAAATTATAATTGTATATCAAATGTTCATAATTAATTATTTAAAATTAAATTTAATTCATTTACTCCTTTCTATATATAAAAGAGAAAAAAGATTTTATTCGTTGGAATACGAACCCCATGATATTACGAGTTAGTTATTGGGTTTTAAGGTAAAGTAGTATAGAAGACCTGAATTTAGAGTAGTTTATTTTGGTTTTATGGGATAAGGAAACATAACACGAGAGAAATCTGCGAAATAGAGTGCCTCCCGTTGGATTTTCTATGCGAAATTGGCATTTGTATTAGTGTAAAACAGCTGAAGCAAATCTGAAAAACTCAATGCTGCTAGCCCATCGATCAGGCGCGAACCTGTGTTCAGTTGTTTTAACTTTATACAATAATCGTTCTACAGCGCGTGGTTCAATAGTTTATAAGCTAAGCTAATTTCTTAATTAAATCCTTCTTAAAAATGGATGTTATTAGCCTAAATTTATAAGATTGTGGGAATTACCCAGCTTAATTTATTATAAATACGAGAGGAAGTTGGGCTATAATTTAATCAATATACGGAGTTTATATTTTTGGGATACTGTCAACTAGGCTATCGCTAACTGGCAGAAGAGCGGGCCCCTTTTGTCTCTTTACAGTTCCATTTAGCCCTTTTTTTTTGAATCAATGAAATACGTAGAATATAATTAATAAAAAGCAGTATTAAAGATTTTTTTTATTTTCTATTAATAAAAATAACGTTAATTTTATAGGGTTTAAAATCACACGAGGCTCTTTTCTCCATGACTGGAGAAAATTTGCCATCTCCTCCCTCTCTGCTAGATGAACTTAACCGTAAACAGTGAAAGTCCAAAACGGACAACGTTCTACGGAAATATTTATAAAAATTAAAATATTTCTCGTAAATATTATTGAAATTAAATCATTAGGTTATCTATGGTGCCAAAGATTACACAAGATTAAACGTCGTTTGACGATTTACACAACTTCGTATCACTTTGCATTTTGTTTATCTTCTTAACCCCTCTAAAACTTGTTTCTGTGAAATGTTATATATTAAGAATTAAATAAGTAAGCCTCAATCGATACAAGTTGAGATTCTAAAACTACTGTATAACACATAAGAGGCCATACCCCTTCATGGAATAATAAATTAGAAGCATTATAAGCATAGTTTATGGGTAATACCAAGTCTGAATATCTACTAATATTCTTTTATTAGGATAACTGTATCTAAATATCAACCAATAATTATAATTATTAAAATGTATTGTACTTAGCTGAAGCTTGTAATAATAGTCACCAGATGTCGCGTCTATCGAGGGGTGACACCCAACCATTTATTTCCTTCCAAATAGGAAGTTTATGTGGGATGTATTTGCCCGTTCTGAACTATAATGTCGGTGTGGATTCCGAATTGGAAATGCCTCGTAATTTCGCTTCGTTATTTTGAATTAAGCGTACGATTCGATGTTTAAAATGTACGATTATCGTAAACATGCCGTCGGATTATTTTTTATACTCGTTTTTATACACGGTAAGTATCACGTGGTGTGTATGCACTCGTTTAAAAGTTACTTCTAATGAATTTCGCAGCCATTCAATAGACGTTAGCGATATTACGAGTTGTCTTATCGTTTTATATTACGTATTAGACCGAAACTTTGTGATAATAACTAATAATCAATTGACAGTTTTGCTTTGTTTGCTTGTTTAGTCGATACCGGTTACTTCTGAGTTGATTAGAGGAAGGGAAAGAAGCTTCAGGCGAAAACTGTATAATAAGATTTTAATAATAAAGTGTAGAAAGTAGATTTATGTAGTTTTTAAGTATGGGAAGGGAGAGAAGAAAAAAGATGTAAACTGAGAACGTCACTTTAGAAGAGAGGATAAAAGATAGGGGCGTATTTAAGGGGACTCGGGGAAAAGCTACACAGCTTCTTTTAATACAAGGTTTTTGTCAGTTTGTTTAATTTTGACTACTTTATCAAAATAACTGTTTCAATAAAATCCCTACTTTCCAACCACCAATGATTTCGAGCGAAAGTGACGTACGGGTGGTCTTTTAGAGGAGTTTATTTAGTTATTTATTTATTTCTTTTTATGTCTCCCAGGATCCGTGGCCTGAGATGTAAAAAATATACTATCATTCTAAACATATACTAGTAGATTATTATAGTACAGTAAACTTAACATATATATATTAAGTCTTTTAATTGAAGTGTAACTGATCCAGGTCTCTCGTTCTTTGACAAGCGTACACGTATCCGGTAATTCGAATAATTCTGTAACTAAACACGCATGTTATTGGATATTGAATTGTTAGAGGCCTCTCTCATCCTGTTCTCTTATAGTCCTCGAACAATTCGTTGTCTTTGATTGTCTAGAAAATTTGTAATTTGGCACAATTTAATTGAAAAAGAAAAAAAAATTGTAAATTATATCAGTATACGTTGATCTGTACTATTATATTATGTTTAAAACATAGCTTATATAAGTATTGATTTAGCTAGGAACTAAGTTTGGTAGGGTCTAACAAATATGACTAAAGCAATTTAAACATATACATTGGGATGAATTTAATGCAGACAAAAATCTATATCATATTTGAGGAAAGAGTACACTTCAGTAATTAGTATAACCTCATTTGACTTTTAAAAAACTTGCTAATGCGATCAGACATAGAATTAATAATAATCCTGCAATAGTGCAATGTTATTTTGTTCCGCTTTCAGGCCGAACTGCAAGTCAGACATTAACGTTATCCGTTCTATTAGGTAAAGAACATAACGTTCCAGGCCCAAAATAGGTAATACGGCTCCAGACCATAAGACATCACCAAATTTCAATGTCGTTCAGTTATAGACTTCATCGATGTAGTCCATATCTATTTTCGCCCATCTGAACCAACTCTTAAGTTTGGATTTATCTGACCATACGATCCTCTTCCAATCAAAGATTCAGTCTTTATATAGTTTGGCAAAATTAATACGTTTCTGTTTATGTAATTTGGTAAGTTTGGTCTTCTTGAGCTTTCAAATTGTTACGTTTTAAGCATCTGCGGATAGTTGAAGTACTATTGTATATCAAATGTTCATAATTAATTATTTAAAATTAAATTTAATTCATTTACTCCTTTCTATATATAAAAGAGAAAAAAGATTTTATTCGTTGGAATACGAACCCCATGATATTACGAGTTAGTTATTGGGTTTTAAGGTAAAGTAGTATAGAAGACCTGAATTTAGAGTAGTTTATTTTGGTTTTATGGGATAAGGAAACATAACACGAGAGAAATCTGCGAAATAGAGTGCCTCCCGTTGGATTTTCTATGCGAAATTGGCATTTATATTAGTGTAAAACAGCTGAAGCAAATCTGAAAAACTCAATGCTGCTAGCCCATCGATCAGGCGCGAACCTAAAACTGTGTTCAGTTGTTTTAACTTTATACAATAATCGTTCTACAGCGCGTGGTTCAATAGTTTATAAGCTAAGCTAATTTCTTAATTAAATCCTTCTTAAAAATGGATGTTATTAGCCTAAATTTATAAGATTGTGGGAATTACCCAGATTAATTTATTATAAATACGAGAGGAAGTTGGGCTATAATTTAATCAATATACGGAGTTTATATTTTTGGGATACTGTCAACTAGGCTATCGCTAACTGGCAGAAGAGCGGGCCCCTTTTGTCTCTTTACAGTTCCATTTAGCCCTTTTTTTTTGAATCAATGAAATACGTAGAATATAATTAATAAAAAGCAGTATTAAAGATTTTTTTTATTTTCTATTAATAAAAATAACGTTAATTTTATAGGGTTTAAAATCACACGAGGCTCTTTTCTCCATGACTGGAGAAAATTTGCCATCTCCTCCCTCTCTGCTAGATGAACTTAACCGTAAACAGTGAAAGTCCAAAACGGACAACGTTCTACGGAAATATTTATAAAAATTAAAATATTTCTCGTAAATATTATTGAAATTAAATCATTAGGTTATCTATGGTGCCAAAGATTACACAAGATTAAACGTCGTTTGACGATTTACACAACTTCGTATCACTTTGCATTTTGTTTATCTTCTTAACCCCTCTAAAACTTGTTTCTGTGAAATGTTATATATTAAGAATTAAATAAGTAAGCCTCAATCGATACAAGTTGAGATTCTAAAACTACTGTATAACACATAAGAGGCCATACCCCTTCATGGAATAATAAATTAGAAGCATTATAAGCATAGTTTATGGGTAATACCAAGTCTGAATATCTACTAATATTCTTTTATTAGGATAACTGTATCTAAATATCAACCAATAATTATAATTATTAAAATGTATTGTACTTAGCTGAAGCTTGTAATAATAGTCACCAGATGTCGCGTCTATCGAGGGGTGACACCCAACCATTTATTTCCTTCCAAATAGGAAGTTTATGTGGGATGTATTTGCCCGTTCTGAACTATAATGTCGGTGTGGATTCCGAATTGGAAATGCCTCGTAATTTCGCTTCGTTATTTTGAATTAAGCGTACGATTCGATGTTTAAAATGTACGATTATCGTAAACATGCCGTCGGATTATTTTTTATACTCGTTTTTATACACGGTAAGTATCACGTGGTGTGTATGCACTCGTTTAAAAGTTACTTCTAATGAATTTCGCAGCCATTCAATAGACGTTAGCGATATTACGAGTTGTCTTATCGTTTTATATTACGTATTAGACCGAAACTTTGTGATAATAACTAATAATCAATTGACAGTTTTGCTTTGTTTGCTTGTTTAGTCGATACCGGTTACTTCTGAGTTGATTAGAGGAAGGGAAAGAAGCTTCAGGCGAAAACTGTATAATAAGATTTTAATAATAAAGTGTAGAAAGTAGATTTATGTAGTTTTTAAGTATGGGAAGGGAGAGAAGAAAAAAGATGTAAACTGAGAACGTCACTTTAGAAGAGAGGATAAAAGATAGGGGCGTATTTAAGGGGACTCGGGGAAAAGCTACACAGCTTCTTTTAATACAAGGTTTTTGTCAGTTTGTTTAATTTTGACTACTTTATCAAAATAACTGTTTCAATAAAATCCCTACTTTCCAACCACCAATGATTTCGAGCGAAAGTGACGTACGGGTGGTCTTTTAGAGGAGTTTATTTAGTTATTTATTTATTTCTTTTTATGTCTCCCAGGATCCGTGGCCTGAGATGTAAAAAATATACTATCATTCTAAACATATACTAGTAGATTATTATAGTACAGTAAACTTAACATATATATATTAAGTCTTTTAATTGAAGTGTAACTGATCCAGGTCTCTCGTTCTTTGACAAGCGTACACGTATCCGGTAATTCGAATAATTCTGTAACTAAACACGCATGTTATTGGATATTGAATTGTTAGAGGCCTCTCTCATCCTGTTCTCTTATAGTCCTCGAACAATTCGTTGTCTTTGATTGTCTAGAAAATTTGTAATTTGGCACAATTTAATTGAAAAAGAAAAAAAAATTGTAAATTATATCAGTATACGTTGATCTGTACTATTATATTATGTTTAAAACATAGCTTATATAAGTATTGATTTAGCTAGGAACTAAGTTTGGTAGGGTCTAACAAATATGACTAAAGCAATTTAAACATATACATTGGGATGAATTTAATGCAGACAAAAATCTATATCATATTTGAGGAAAGAGTACACTTCAGTAATTAGTATAACCTCATTTGACTTTTAAAAAACTTGCTAATGCGATCAGACATAGAATTAATAATAATCCTGCAATAGTGCAATGTTATTTTGTTCCGCTTTCAGGCCGAACTGCAAGTCAGACATTAACGTTATCCGTTCTATTAGGTAAAGAACATAACGTTCCAGGCCCAAAATAGGTAATACGGCTCCAGACCATAAGACTTCACCAAATTTCAATGTCGTTCAGTTATAGACTTCATCGATGTAGTCCATATCTATTTTCGCCCATCTGAACCAACTCTTAAGTTTGGATTTATCTGACCATACGATCCTCTTCCAATCAAAGATTCAGTCTTTATATAGTTTGGCAAAATTAATACGTTTCTGTTTATGTAATTTGGTAAGTTTGGTCTTCTTGAGCTTTCAAATTGTTACGTTTTAAGCATCTGCGGATAGTTGAAGTACTCCTATTCTTAAGCCATGTTTCAATTCCCTCTTTACTTGTGCTGATGCATCTCAACGTCCACTCGTTAACAAACGTTTCTGATTTGGCGCTCAACGTTTTTTTTTTCCTGCCAGCCAGGGGCGGATCTACATAGGGACTAATAGGGCTTAAGCCTTCCTTGGGGCTCCAAGTGTCAAGGGCTCACAAAAATTGAATTATCATAAATTTTTAATACTTTTTTTTATATTAACAATGAACACATAGTATAGTAAAAAAAAATAGTTAATAGGTTAGGTTTGGTAAAAATGATAAAAATGGGGCCCCATTGGACTTCGATAAGCCCTAGGCCCCGAAAAACCTTGATCCGCCCCGTACGTACTTTGGGAGGATTTTGACACTTAGAAGTTATGAGCGTTGCTGTTTTTAATTCAACAGACATGTGCTCTCGCACGTATCTGACACCGCGATGCCTCCGTATTTGTGTATTAATATCAGTAATAATAATAGAAATAATATCTTTCTTATACAAAAAGAAAAAAAGACAAACGTTTGTATGAATTTTATTTACAACGACGAGTCAATGCAAGAACAGATTCGAAAAATAATACGAATTATTGCAGTCGGATTTGGACGTAGCAAAACTTATGAGTATCGGAATTTTTAATTTAATTTGATATTGCTTGCTTGATTATTTCATTTCCCGAGGAAATTATCCATCGCTTTCGGCAGATCTTGTATTATTTACACTGTATTTACAAACACTGTGTACGAAATGTTTTCTGTCACTTTGCATTTCAAGAACGTACAGTACACTTTGCATCACTATATTGTTTTAGCCTCATTGCATTGATTAATTAAGTGTGCAGTTTACAAACCACATACTTAATGAATTATTTTGTGTAAATAGCATGTTTTATGATCCAACAAATCATTTTAATTGCTGTATCGGCCTTGCTCGGTATCGTATTCGCTCATCAATAAATAGTGTAGAGAATTTGCCAGTTTTCTTTGCATCTTTCTCTGTTCCTCTTCCCAGGTTTACATGCAGGATTTATAAAAGTGTAAGATTAAAAATAAAACATTTACTAGAAAGGTTATTATATATACACCGTAATAACGTTATCTGCAAAGACCGTCGTCAATCGTGTATTTCTCTTTATGTCAGTGTGATGTCATTCCTTCCTTTACAATGAACGAGTATAAAATTGAAGTAAAAGCGTGCATTATCTCAACGAATTAACAGTCAAATTTTTCGATTATTTTATTTGATTTTCTTTCAAACAAATCATGCAGAGAAATCCGTTCGAACTTTAATAACAGATGGGTACGGCGCATCTTTCTTTGTCTTTTTCTTCGTAATGTTTCGGATAATTTACAATTCAGCCGTTCTTATTAAAAGTAATTATCGAAATATTTTACAGAATTATCGTCACGCGGCTTCGATGAAGTCCTCGGGACAGAAATTGAGAAAAAACGTAAGTATTTCAGTATTCTTTTATCATTGTATTCAGTTTATTACATTATTAAAGTAAAATTATATTTTTTATTGTATTTATTGATGATGATGATAAAATCCTTTTGGCTCTTTCTGCCCTGTGGGCACTAAGAGAGCATATTTTTTAATACCAATCGGTGGGTTCGGCTATGCTCACAGTAAGGACACCCACAACGGGGATTATGTCCAGACGTATTCAGGATATGTCTGGTCATTCCTTTCGTGAAATCTTTCTGGAATTGTTCTGTGGATCCTGAATTCGACTCCGGATTTCCAAGAGCGATAGGCTGACTTCATAACCGCTCGTTTCATCCATTCTAGTGTTCTGTAACCACTATTACAATATGTTAAATACAGTATATTTTTTGTGTAACATTATTATTTTATCGTTTTAGATCCCGATATTTTGGATGTAAAATCTCAAATGGATATTATTTCCGGCTCCAATATCTCTTTAAGCTGTAGGGGAAACGGAAAGTTATATTGGATTTTTCCAGATCATTCTGCAAGTATCCATCTTTCTATATTTTGTTACAGAAGTTTTAAAATTCTATTAATTTGGTAATTGTAACCAGACTTAATAAAATTCAAAATCATTTCGTTGGCATTTGTAAGGAATTGAGTACAATATAATTATAAAATTACGAAATAATGTAAGTTTTTATCCATTTTTTTTAATATCTAGTAACAAATATGGGATTTATTTTATAGATTTATAACGAGAGAGCGAATATTCGAGATTTCAAAAGGAACGACAGTTACCAAAGTGATCTTGAAATAAAAAATGCCAACTACAACGATACGGGAATTTATCAATGTTGTTTCGCATCCCGTTATTTCGGATTTTGCGATAGTCGCTACATTTTTGTTAACGGTATGTTCTTCAGAGTTAATTAAGACCGATGCACTGGAGCGGCAAAATTAAGGCGACATTGAACGCCAAGCAGTGGCATCATTTGACTTTGACAAATGAAATTGGTGATTGTTTGAACTGTCGTCTTAATTTTGTCTTCCATGCTCATCCGTTGTTAAATTAAAGCCTGTTCGTAATCCACAGATCGATATAGTTACATTCTGTTTTCGCTATGGTGCCTTGAAGATCATTGAACACCGCTCCGTTACAGTTCGTGGTGAATAACTATCCAATCAAACTAAGGGTTTAATAATTGTTATTAAACCTTCATTTACCAATAGAAGACGTTCCAATTCGATCACGAACTTTTTGTCAAATCGAGCAGCAAACATGCGGTGCATAGCGAAACGTCACAACGGAATGGAACATCATCCGAAGCGAGCGGAACAGAATATAGTGGATTATGAATCGGTTTTCACGGATTTTTACTCAAATTACGTTAATATTCAAGTTCTTTTGTCATAATATAATGCACTTTTATAATGTTTATTAGATGAGGAACACCGCCTTCTTCCCACCAGCGACTTAATTATCATCTATGGTCAAAGAAAATCGTTTATTCCTTGTAGACCGACAATTTCCAGTAGAGAAGTGACTCTTTGGCGACATGGCGAATACGTGAAACTCAGTAGAAATCTAGATTTTGATCCTACCAAAGGATTTATCTTAACAAATGCCACTTCGTTCTTTTCTGAATTCTTCCAATGTAAAGTTCGATATAAAACGGAGCAAAGTTTAACGTTAAAGCTTTACTATGGTAAGTAAGTTATCAACTTAAAAATTTTTGCGCTTTTTTTTTTGCTAATTAGTCACTTCTATGTCTTTTTTCCATTGTTATGGGGTGATCAAACAGCCCATGACATACTGCCCATCAACCTGATGGGCAATATTTCATGGGCTGTTTGATCATCATTCACGTATTCTGTTCTGGTCCTCTATGTTCTAGATTATGCTTTTAATTGTAAGTTTTTATTTTTAAACGGATGTTGATCGATTACCGTTTATTTTTAATTAATTATTTCTCAGTACAAGAGGATATCCGGCCGCCTTCGATAAATTTAAATAGTACTGTAGACATTCGTAAAGGTTCGAGTATCGAAATAAAATGCAATGGGGAGAAGAACGTGTATTGGAACCTTCCTCGAAATGCGGTACGTAAAATTATGGTTTATTAAGAATATTCAAGCCATTAACTTTTCTGTGTTGCAAAACCCATTGAAGTTGAGGGCAAACGTACTAAATTTTGTAATGGCTTGAAACGTTGATTGATTATTTGAGCAAGATTTGTATATATTTTGTTGTTCGGTTGAGGAATATTAAACGGAATAGATGCAATGATTTTGTGCATATGCATGAGGGATCCGATGAGACAGTTCTATGGGTAATTGTGGAAGGATATCGTAAGGTGCCTTTGTGCCTTCACGCCCGATCGTATCGCCTGAGGAATGCAAGCAAGAGGAAGTCCTACAATACTAAAAGTACTAAAGATTTTATTAAATTGTACAGTTGTTTCACAGGAAATTATTCATGAAGGAAATAAATAATAATCATTTACGTGTAATTTAAAAATGAAGTTTTCACTGTTACTTCCATAATTATGAAGGTAACAGAAGTAATGGAGAGAGCGGAATTGAAATCTGTTTGTTGCTTCTGGGTGGCAATTAATGTTAATTTCTTACGTTTTAGTTACTTTTGGAGAAATCCGGTGGAAAGAAATTTCGAGAAGATGCCAAAGATGGCCGAGAAATCTCGATTAGAATCGAAAATGCTCAAGTATCGGATTCGGGACCTTACATGTGCTGTTATAGAGACTATAACGATGACTGCCACGTGAACAGCACCGCTTCGTACGTCTTTCTTCGTGTCAACGGTAAGTGACGTTCTTTTGTTACGTATCTAAACCTGGTCTTCCTTATAATATTTATTAAAAGCTTTAAACAATTTATTTCTTATATTAAGTATTACGTCTGACTGTCGAATATGTTATCGGTAGATCGCGAGAATCTCATTATTCCGGAAGTGGAAACCGTCATAGTGGAAGAGTGGCGATGTGCCTCTTACGTCATTCAGTGTCTTCCGTCCTCCCCCGACGTCACGGTGCGCTTACAGTTTCGTCACAATTCGTCAGAAGCCGCATTTGACTGCCAAAACGACTTTTCTTACGTGGAAACGTTGGGTTTCGTTCCCCTCGACGATAGAAAGGTTCGAAAGGTCTACCAATCGGGAACGTTCGTCTGTCGATACGTATACGGAAATGTGTCCCAAGAAGAAGAAAAGTCCATCACGCCTTTAGGTGCGTATTCCAGAAGATAGAGAGGTTGTGGCGAAGTTTTCATCTCTCAAACGTGAACGTCGAGCGCCGCTCGACGTTTGAGAGATGAAAACTTCGGCCTCAACCTCTGTAATTAGAAAAAGAAACGGCCTGTTACGGTATTACGATCATAAATAATAGCCAATTAAGGATGATTATAAGTAACGTCGATAGTTTTTATTTGCGGTTACGTCGATCCGTAGTGCCGGTTTTAAAGAGAATTCGCATTAAAAGTTTATCGATTCGATAAATCGTCGTCGAAGCGATTAATCGAATTTATATCATCGTATAGATCCGAGATATTCCTTACAAGTTTGGACTTCGAACTCGGAGCCTTACGAGAACGACCAAGTGGAAATCGGATGTCGAGCCTGTAAATTCGCTTTCCGCAGCGTTCGATGGAAGAAGAACAGAAAAAATCCAGGTATAGTGTCCATTTTTATTTCTATTTTTTAGCGATATTCGCGGATAGATTCGCTTTAGAAATTTTTTTCGGGTGAATAACCTTAAATATTTTTGGGGTGGTCTGTCCTGGATTTGTCAGGCCCAGACACAAATTGTGTGTCTAGCCGGACCAAAAATGGGCTTTATAATAAACCGTAACGTATGTGTTATCGCGCATTGTAAGGTTACTTGAAAGGTTTTTATTTAATTTAAGGTCGAAGCGAAAAGTTATATATATATATATATGTTCGAATTATTTATTTTAGAAGCGAAATCGTCCGACGAGAACACCCAATTCGAACTGAAGAAAGTTTTGAAGTTTCAGTCGATCCGTAAAGAAGATGCGGGAACTTACGAGTGCGTGGGTATTACTCAAGACAATTTAGAGGAAAGAGAAAAGACCACGTTGAAAGTTAAAGGTGAAGGATTAAAATAATTAAATTCAGATAATCAAGCAAATAATCGATGTGGTTCTCTCACTTGAGCGCGTGTGGTCGAGGTGGAGAGCCATACCGGAATCTAATAAAGAAATTATTCGAATTTCTTAAAATCAGTTATCGCGATCAAATTGAAGTGCTACAAAGACGTGGATCGAAAAGATTACAAGACATTGCGATAAGTTAGTTGCAGTGGTGCATTATTCCACGGGCAAACAGGGCAATTGCCCTATTCAATCTTTCATAAACTCGTTAGAGAGGTTGCGGCCGAAGTTTTCATCTCTCAAACGTGAAAGCCGAAAGTCAAGCGCCGCTTGACGTTCGACGTTCACGTTTGAGAGATAAAAGCGAGGTTGAGGCCGAAGTTTTTAAACGCCAAAACGTGTACGTCGGACGTTCACGCCGCTTTCCTGTAAGCCTAGAAGTTTGACAATGGTGTTTGGAATGCCGAGCATGATTCCATTGACTATCCAAACACCATTGTCAAATTTCCAGGCTTACAGGAAAGCGGCGCTGAACGTCCGACGTACACGTTTTGGCGTTTAAAACTTCGGCCTCAACCTCGCTGTTACTAAAGTAAGAATTTCGAAATTTAAATGTGGGTCATACCTGGAAATCCTACATTGCCGGTGTGTCGCAGGTGCAGGGGTACACCGAAGTAACGCACAACATAAAGGAAAAAGTGAGAATATCCAACTTTTATGGCTATAAACCATAGGAAATGGATAACTTTGTTGCCCAATCGCTTAGTCGCTATGTAGATGTGCCTAGTCGCTTAGGCAGACCTCACTAATTTTTTCCGGAATATTTAATACGTAAATCTAAAGTAAGATTTTCTTTTACGATTTCAGCCGTAGAAAAACCTTCTTTCATCGAAACCAACATGAACGGATCGGAAGTGACGTTGGACGTCGGAAACAGACTGGAATTGGCGTGTGTAGCAAGGGGGGAACCACAACCGACCATTACTTGGTATAGGAACAACGAAACTCTAAACGAAACGGATCTAGCGGTGGATTTAGACGACGCCAAACTGACAGTGGCCCGAATCGGTAGAAGTCATTCCGGTACGTACCAGTGTCGAGCGGAAAATAAGGAAGGAGCGGTTTCTGCCCAATTGACTGTGAACGTAAATCGAGTCGAAGGTATTTCTGTCTCTTCTCCTTCCACTAATTTGGAATTTTTTCTGAAATAACCATTTTCAATCAGGAAGGACGACCGAAGTTTCGAAGAAATCGATAACGCTTCCCTTGACCATTATCTGCGTGGTGCTCGTTGTTGGCATACTTATTTTATTATTCCTGATCATAAGAAACAGATCGAGAAGAAGGTGAGGAACATTTCGTATTTATTGAATTAACTTTCTTCTTTATCTCGTGGAGAATTAGTTTGACACGTAGTAAACAATTTTACCTAATCCCCCATGCATGATTTTTACCGAAAAAATTAACAAGTAAAACTACTTTAGCATAGGATAAACTTTATTGTCCACCATATAGTAATATCGAATTTAAACGTCTTTAATAAAGAGTTCTATAAAAAAACTATTCTGGAAATATTGTATGGCAGTTTTAATAGAAGTTTCTGCTGTCAGGAATATAGCCATTTTGGCCACACTACTGACTTTTACTCTTGAGCTTCTGCCAGAAACAAAGTTCACTCGTGATCATTCTCTATTTTCGCAATACACTTTGCGCAATGTGAATGACGCCAGCCGGTAACTGAAAAGGAAAGTTCTTACGTAATTCTAATATCCTGTAAAGAAATGAGTGGAGAAAAACAACTTTCTGACTGTTGTTAGGATATTCGAAAGAAAAAAAATTGCTGAATAATACTATTTACTCATAAAATTTTGAATAATAATATGATATCTCCTCCAGTGAGAAAGTAATATAGCGATATGGTTCAAAAATACATTTGAATCACTCCTTCCATGCTGTCTTCTATTAACATAACATCAACATATATACAGCCTATGATGTGATGCGGAATATGTAGCTTAGAAGAAAAACTATATACTATATAACTGTTTCTTCCAAATATACAGCCCATTTGGACGCCCGATTGCTGTAAAAATTTCTTTGTACCTAAAGTAATTTTGTCTTACAAATTAAGTGAAGCTTATCTATAATCAGGGCCATCGAGAGAGAGAGGGAGCTATGGATATTTTCTTGATTCCAGTGAAAATTTAAGGACCCGTAGTGGTTTCTACCTCTGTAAATTAAGGTTATTTTTACTAACAAAACTTCTTGAGATTGCATTTTAATTTATTATTAAAGAAACAAATATTTTACTTACCTCATTTTACGACACATAACACTAGCGGATTACGTTCCTCCGAGGCCCATCTTGATTTTAGTTTTGTATCAACTAGAAAAGTAAAAGGAATTTAAGGCCGAGTACCAAAGGTAGGGGAGGCTTACTTTAATACACTAAATACTTTTCCCTAAATATTCTATGCTGAAAAGGGGGTGTTGAATGAAAGTTTATCATTCAATACAGTCTACACAAGCTCTCTATAATAGCTTGTATATTATTATTTGTCATTTTACTTTCTAATAATTGTATTACCTAAAACTAATATACATGTATTTTATAAAACTTTAAGCTCTGATCTACTTGTTTAAGCATAAATACGGCTCAAATAAGTAGATTAAAGCACAGTGTGAAATCAACTTTTCTTCTATTTGTGGGTATTAATAAAAGCAATTAAAATATTTAATATTTTTCAGGTATTTTAGATGACCGGAATCGTAACACAGACAAATACTCAGCAAGAAATCATCTCTCGTCTTCGTTACCTTAAGAAATACCAAGAATAATATCCAAGTGAAATCCTCTAAGTCATTGTTGTAATTAATCGTGTTATTTTAAAATAAATTTTTTGAAATAAAACTAACGAATCGTTCAGAAATCTAATTATTTTAAAAGACCTTTTTACGCTCCTTTGATCTTTTGATCTTTTTTCCGAGGCAGGCAGGGCCTTCCTGTGATAAAAGATCTCATGACAGAGGTCTTGTAACACGGAGGCCTAGATCTGTAGGCACCCCCTATAACACTAGGATGGGGATTTCTCTCCTCCGAGAGGGGCCTTATACCACTTATACTTGCTGCTCGTTAGATGCTACGCTTTCGACATCTAATATAACCTCGAAAAAATGGTAATTAGTTGTCGAAGGTCGAGTAAACATTTCGTTCGATAAGAACTTATCCGGCTTTCGCAGTAATCGTCCTTGTTTCTGTTAACGAAACAAATTATAACTGAATAAGCAGGGAAAATAGCCGGCATTTCTTCCCTGCGTAATAAAAACAGGATTTGAGAATTTTAAAGGAAAGAATAACGGAAACAGAATGAATCAAACGAGTCGTGTTGGGAAAATTAACAAATATCCTGCTTGGGGAGCGCGTAATTGATAATAACGCCTGCCTAGTTGCGATTTTAAGTGCCACTCCAGTAGTCCCGATGCTTTCTTCTAGTTTCCTTTAAACTAATTATTAATACTTCTAGTGTCAAATTCTATTAAGTCAACCTTTGATTTCGCCAAGTATTTGGCTAATCGTGAATTCTTTTACAAAATAAAAATCATTTAAAAACTCGCCGGACACTAAAATATACGGCAATTTTTAACGGATCCTGAGGTTTTTAATATACTAAATACATCACTTATTATTATCAATAAGAAAATAGAAAGTTTAATCTAGTTTATAGTTCAATGCCAAGTTCAATTTCCTCCTAAACGAAGGAAGTAAACTTGACAATATCAAACAGTATCAAAGTGTGACATACTAGAACTGTTTACCTTGGAAATTTATCATATTTTATTAAATTTGCTTCGACAACACACTACTAAGGCATCAACTATGCCTGAATCTTTCTGTCGTTTTTCATATGACACTACCGAATGCAGTTTAAATAAACGCGCCATAAACACAACACAATCTGTGGCACCCAAATAAAAGTCTGGGGGGGTCTCTCGGTTATAGCAAGTTCCCTCTCGTAATTACGTTCGGATTAAAGGAGATGCCGGACTATCTGTGTTATTAATTAATCAAAATGTAGCACAATATTATCCAAAAGATGACACAAGAAAGCTTTCTACTAATTTTTGATTAAAGGGAATAATATAAGAATGCTTATTACGTATTCATTAAGAGATCGTAGAGGCATTGAATGGCTCAGTAGCGAGTAACTTGCCTAATTTCTTCGGAACTGTATGAAAGATTGGAATTTCGCACACAGGGGAAAAGCTGGGGACTTTTTCCCGGGCCCGGAGTAAACTAGGGAATCTTTAGTCATTACTACCCCTATAATTTCTTTTAAAAAAATACGTAGAAGAGGCTAAAATGTCTTCGTTTTTCTTGCCCGATCGCCAGGAACAAGTCTTCCATTGCAGAGGCGCTCTGCAAAAATATGGAAAACAGTTTTTAAATACTTAAAAATACATAGTTTTATTGAAAAATAATACCCGTGTTCTTTTCCCTAGGGTGCGCCTCTATCACGATTCGTCGCCGTCGTCGTCGTCGCCGCGAAAATCGCGTTTCCGTCGCGACCGACCCCGACTGCCGGAAGGCCGAGGACACCGGAAGAGAGGGAGCGAGGAGGCGTTCGGGATGGCCGTTTTTTATTGGTTCCTTCCCCCTTTTCCTTCCTCGTCGAGTGGACTCGACCGCCGACCCGTCCGCCGCCGCCCAATTATTTAACTCGACGCGACGACGCTTGTCGGGGCGCGCGTTTCCGAAGCGGAAACGGAAACAGGAGGGAAAAAGTAGCCTCGATTTCCTTCGGTGAATATTACGTCGGGGAAGACGGCGACGATGAGAGAAAAGACGATGCTGGTGGCACGTCTGACCTTGCTCTTCTCCGTTTGGGCATCGTCGGCGGGTAAGTGGGCCCGGGCGTCTACACCCGGCTCTTTCGCACCATTCTAATGTCGTCTTTTCGCAGCTTCCGACCCACCCCAACTGGACAGGAATGGCTTCGTCAGCGTCCCCTCGGGATCCGAGCAGACCGTGACCTGCGCGGGATCGGCCGAATTGATTTGGACTTTGCGCAGGAACCACGTAAGACACATTTTCGTCTTCTTCCGGCCGATTGCACGCTTCCGGTGTTAAATTTCTAAACCGGAACGTTACCCCTTTCAGGAGTCCGACGAAATCACCGAATCGGAATTCACGCGAATTTTCGGCAACGTCCGGATCGAGCGCAGGATCGATCGGATCGGTCCCGATCGACCGAACTATCTTCACCGAAGTTACTTGAAGATAAAGAACATCACCTTCGACCAGATGGGTTTCTATCGATGTTCCTATCGAAGGGAAAGAAGCCGGTCCGCTTCCAGTAACTCTCTTGGTATTTTTATTTACTTCTTCGTCAACGGTAAGTACAGTACCTCCGACTTTCGAGTCTATCCACGACGTTCCGCCCCTCGTCTTCGAATTAGTCGCGTAAGCATTCGTCGCGAATGAGCGTCGCTAGTTCCCGCTTTCGCTACCAGATGGCGCCGGCGACTGGTGATGGCGATGGGTTATTTAATTAACAACCTGTTAATTTTCAAACGTTATTTCGATAAATAATAACGCATTGTTATTTAAAAATAGAATAACAAGTAAAAAAATAACACCAGTATAAAATGCGTTGCGCATTACTGCGTAAATAACCGGATCGAACATAGGGCCGGATTAAGACTTTAGAGGCCTTAAGCACTTAATAGATTTGATGCCCCCATGTACTGTACACGTAATTCAAAATATAAACAATAATAAATGGCCGCTTTTTATAGACCCTAATTCATCTCTACCGTTATAGTTTTGCACCATATGGTCCGTGGTAAATTTGGCAATGAAAAATTCTCGTTAGGCCCTTTACCTTGATGCACTCCATATTAGAGAAGAAAGATAGAAAGAAAGAAAGAAAAGCCCCTGCTTATTTTGCCTAATGGTTAATCCAGCCACGATCGAGCACATGATGGGACATGATTAAAAAGATCTTCTCGGTGTTCATAGACAAAGAGAACAAAAAAAAAGGTAACTAACTAGAGCATTTTCGTAAATTACTTAACACGATTTTTATAACCTTCCATCCCTCGTAACACATGTAATGCTACCCACTAGACGCCTATGAAATTAACGTAATAAGCGAAACAAAAGGGTGTAAACCATTGTTTCCCACCTTTTTTTGTGCTATGCCCCACCTAAGCCATTCTAAAATTCTTATGCCCCCTAACATATACAGCGGCTATACGGTTAACTTAAACTCTGGACGAGTCCATTTTCGAACTGCCCCCTTAAAAATCCAGCTGCCTCCCTGTGGGGCATGGGCCCCACGTTGGGAAACACTGGTGTAAACAGAATACGTAATGGTAATATCTTAGTAATACTACACTTTATAAACTTATACTGTACAGGTATCCCTTGATCAACGAGGTAAATTATTCTCTCGCGTGTTATACAAGGGATACTTGTGTATACAAATACAGTACGGACGTAATCGTCGATAGATTTATCGACAGTTTTGAACGCACAGAACTAGAAACAATTATTTTCTCCAGTTATTTTAGAGCAAGGATTTCCAATCTTTTTCTTCCCATTGAGCCGGCAGGCTGTCTACGGGAAACTCGCTCCATATTTAAGAGTCAGACACGTTAAGAAAACCCGAAAAAACCCGGTTGTGAAAAGTCAAGGGATGCAGATATAGAGGATAGTCACGTGATATATGTCGCGAGGGGTCAGATTTAATGAAGATTTTACTTGTTGTTAGCATTTATAATGTTTTATAATACTCATCTCTACCCTGAAAATTAGGTATTTTGTTATTTTATAATAATTAAAAATATATAAAGTTTTTATAACGAAATCTCATAACAGATGGTGCCACATACAATTTTAGTAATTTATTTTGATTAATAATACAAATGTTATTTTTAAAATAAAATATCGTAAAAGCTGGGAAAGTTATGCAACTCGTTGCTAGATTTTTTAAAATTATAGTTTGATATATACTGTATTTGATTATAATTATAAAATTACATATTATATTTGATCAAAATATCTATTTCTATTGTTTATAAAATTTATTGTAGGAGATATAATCAAGATTCCTGTTTAAATGCCCTGTCCGAAATTAATATTGAGCAATAACTTTTGTAAACTCCAGTAACCAATAGGGGCAGACTTTACATATTTCTTCTAAACTGTTTCTTCCTCTAAATTTCCCCATCCTATTGATTTCCCTTTAAATTTAGGGGGATATCCATAAGTTAGTATCAGTGCCTGATTAAATAATAGACAAATAAGACAAATGTCTAGGGCTCATAATTTGTAGGGACCCGGCTTCTTATATAGCTTTATATGTAAGCCTATATATATATATTGTTATACCAGAAACTTATTATACAATCAATTGTATTGTATTAGTGTTTGTATTCTCTATTATTAATAAACATTTTAAGTGACGTTATTTAATATTTCTTTAGAAACTACTTATTTAAATAGGACCCAATTTAATTAAAATTCGTCTAGGGCCCGCTAGAGGCTTAATCCGACACTGGTTGGCATTACTGCTCAGGGTTTTGGCTCCAGCAAAAAAATGGAAGCTGCAATTAGCTCCTCCTCGACTCCTGCTTTCGGAGACGTTTTTCTCTGACGTAAAATGAAAATTCTCGAGTAAATTTATTGTTTAATTTTGATTTGTCACTTCGAGGAATGACGGGCAGCTTCTTTAACCAGCGCTACAAATTTTCGGATTATCGAGAACATTTCTTTTGTTGTATTTTCGCAGATCCGAAAAACATCCTAATCACAGAGTTCGTCCCCGCTTCGAAGGTTTTATACGAAAATGCCACCATCCTTTGTCTCCCTACCGACTATAACATCGAAATGACGCTGTGGAAGGGAGAAGAACGCGTGGTGACATACCCAGACGTCGTCAGTTTTGGCATCATCGCAGGATTTGTCTTCCGAAAGCCCACTCGTTACTTCGATGGAATCTTCTCTTGCAGAGCTAAATACGGAAATTCCACTCAACAAATCTCGTTTCGTTTAATTTCTGGTAATTTATTTATTTATTTTTTAAATTTTTGTTTGAATTTCTCGTGTTTTCTGGATGCCGGCAGAAGGATCAGAACTCGGAACGTCAGCCGATCATCGAATGAAAGATCAAAACTCGAAATTTCTTTTCTTTCGTCGAATACGAAGTTCCGTTCTTAATGTTTCACCCTTTATTAAACTCCATCGACGACACTGTTCCCTCTGCCGGTATGAGAAACACGGCGTAAAATGACGTCAGAACACAAGTCCCGAGCGAGAAACACGATACGTACGTTTCTAAATTCTTTATTCGGAATATTTCAGATAGGAAAAAATGGAACAAGACAAAGACGAGCGCTGGAACGACGATGGACGTGGTGGCTGGTTCCACTCTGGTCCTAAATTGTTCGGGAAGCTTCCCTCCCTTTTGGATAGTCCCCCGGGTAAGTTCTTCCTGTGATTCAGATTGCGGGAAAATGAACGTTAAAGATGAATTACAGGGTCGAAACTAAACGTCTTTAAGCCGTATTCTTCTACCGGCTGTAACTACTGTAAGTTAATTATTAATAAAATCGGAAGACCCTATCGAAATTAAAGTAATAATAATAACTTATTGTTTACAAGAAAAAGTTTGCTCACCATGGACTTCTGTTGTTGTTATTATTCAGCATCCGAACGGTAGTTTCGGGAAAGAGACAGTCCGTCATTCCCGATACATGGAAGATGGCGACGAACTATATGTGAACGAATTACGGATAGAGAACGTTCAAACTTCTTACACTGGACTCTATCGCTGTTGCTACGAAAGTCCCGAATGCCTGTCCAAAGAGGACGAATCAAACGTCTACGTCTTCGTTAATGGTGAGAACAACATTTATTTTGAATTAAGCCAAGTCCCATTAATTAATTAAGTTCGAGAGCGTTAACTCTGATTCTCATACCATGCACAGTCGCCTAAGAAAGAACTGGACTTTACTCTTAATTAAAAGTCGGTAAACGTGTCCGAAATAAAAATTTTACAGATCCCAAAGAGCCATTGATGCACCTGTCGGAAGTTCCAGCTGATGATATCGCTCGATATCGCTGCATCGCACAAGTGGTTTTGTGTCTTCCCACCTTTTCGGATCTAAACGTGACGTTATGGCTAGCAGACAATTTAGTTGCTATGGACGGAAACGTTTCGTTCGACCCCAAATTGGGTTTCGTCTGGTCTCGACCCCAAAAATATCCGTACTTGTACACTTGCAAGACTCAAATAGGAAACCGCACCCAACAACTGGAATTACCCTCTCGAGAACTAGGTAAGGCGTTTCGTTCGTATTACCGACTTAACGTTTAATTTCTATTGTTTGATGTTGCAAGTACTTTCAGATCGAAAAGCCGAGCCTCTTTTATACGTGTACTCATCCAACCTCAATCCTTTCGAGGAAGAATCCGTGGAAATCACCTGCGAAGCTTGCGTTTACAGTTTCCAGAAAATTTGGTGGACCCGAACGGGAGTGCACGGAAAAGGCAAAGAGCTTTTCACAGAAGACGAACAATCAGGTTCGAGATTTCTACACTATTGTTTATTCGGAAAATCCTTCAAATCTAAAGCGAAATCTAACTTTCATTATCTGGCAGGTATCGAGATGATGGACGAAAGCAGTCCTAACATCCTCAGACGAATCTTGAGATTCCGTTCGGTGAGAACGGTCGATGATGGTGTTTACACTTGCGTGGGTTCCACTTACGACGGGCGTCCGAATCCAACCAAAAGCGTGACGTTGAAGATCACGCGTGAGTATCTTCTTTCTGTTCGTTGCCTTCAAGCTTCTACACTAATCTCTTTTATAAATTTACTTAAGCCCTTCAGAAACCTTATTTTGTCCACGCCGATGTTACCGAAGTGCGTGCGATACCCGGAAGTCGTCACGACTTCCATTGCCGAGCGGAAGGAATACCTCCTCCTTCCATTATCTGGTACAGAGAGGGGAAACGAGTGATGGAGGACCCTCCGGGTGTGACGTTTCGACAGGGTTACAGAATCCTGACCATTGATCCGATCCTGGAAGATGATGCCGGCACGTTCAGTTGTCGGGCGGAAAACTCCGAAGGGGTGGTGGAGGCCCGAATCGTTTTGCACGTGCAGAAAGGTTGGACGAATTCCTTTACTCTTTTCCCTTGTCTTAATTATCGTTTACTGTTTCTCTCCTACGTTTTTCAGGAAATGGCTCCTTCGACTTCGTTCGAAAAACCGGAAAGACCACCGGAGAGATTCTCGCGACGACTGCATTCGCCCTGCTTCTGATCACTTTTCTATCTGTGTTATTGTTCTGGTTAAGTGACTTCCGCCGGAAACGGGTAAGATCCGCCATCTTCCCTGTTTTAACCGTTCATTTTCGCGTTATCTCCTCTTCTACGCGGGTTGCTGGGTATCGGCTACCAGACTAGAAAATCAAATTATTCTTCATAATTTCAAGCACAGAAAATATATAAAGTCTCGTAAGAAGATATTGAGGGATGGATTATACTTCTGTATACCTCTCAACAACCAGAGCTAAATCGTTCATCATATTAAGAGCTCACTTAACCTTTCGGAGGAAATATTTCCTTCACAACATTCCCCAAAGAAAATACTGTAGATTGGAATCCCCTAATTCAAATTCGCCCGAAACCCACGAAACTATAACGTGTCATCGCGTACTCATTTTTATTATATTTTCTACCAGGAACAGGGAATGGAGGAAGAACAAGAAGAGATCTGCATCTCCGACGTCATCGAATACGAAGAGGAAGAAGACGTTTCCTGATCCTCGTTCGTCCCTCTATTTCCGTTTCCTCCTCCCTAGATCCGGGAATTTCTTCGATAGTCTCCGAAGACTTTAATCCCTGTCGAGAAGTTTCTTTCTCACTGTTTCGTTCGTCTTTCCAGAAAATGGAGCGACGAAAAAAGAATTTCGGAAGGCCAAAGAAGCTCGAGTGTCCTCCCGTTACCCGGGAAACGCCTCCCGCAAATAATATATTTTGTAAAAATTCTGTAATAATAATAAAAATATTTTTAAAAAAGTATTTTATTTTAAATTTTATTTTATTTCGCGTTATCGACGCTTCCTTAAGAAATCAATCCAAACAACGAGTTGCTTATCTTTACCGGCAACAATGTTTAAAACTGCTTGTGGAGCCATCTGTTATGATATTTTATTTAAAATGATTAATAAAATTGTTATCGTTTAAAATCCATCATCTCGTATGGAACGGATAAATTTTTAATGAAATATAAAGTATGGTTTCCTCCTGTCCTCCTGGTTTACAAAGTGAATGAGTCATGCGTTCAATGCTTGATTTAATGACTCATCCACAGGAATCTCGGATAGTCGAGAATCTATCATCATTAAACTATTAATTTTTTTGACTAGCGAAGGTCACAGAAATTTAGGTTTTATATTCAGAGTATTGGAGCACACATTGCGCTTTATCCGAGCTTTACAAAAGCATTTTTCTCAATCCAAATTACCCAAAAAAAAGTCTAAAAAAAAGGAAAAATTTCTTTGACTAATACCTAATAAGGACTAATACCTAAATAAGGACCAGTTTTCCATACAACCGGATCCTAGACCGAATCAGAATAAATAATTCTAAGACTACTAATATACTATACAATATGGTAGAATTCAAGCATTTCAAGAATTGTTTATTATTTTTGAGATTTTTCATTTATTCATTTATCTTTGGTTAATACAATATCACGTATATCAACAGATTCCTCATTATTTACGGAGTCGGACCACAACTTCAACTATATATCAAGGATGGAACTGTAGCATATCAACGCCAATTTACTTGTATGTGTTCAGTAATAAAAGCATTAATAAGTGTGTCAAATATGTGTTTTTTACGGTTCATTTCTTGATTCGTTTAACTTAATAATTAAATGATAGATCTTTGAAAAGGGTGAAGTATCTCAAAAACTTTCATGGGAGGTTCATCCTACCCTTTCTTTCGTCCTCAAAAAGGACAAAAAGGCCTTTTAATTTTCAACTGTTTCCTCCCTGTGGGCTGTGTTCATCAGTGGCCTAATAGATAAAAAGCTGGTACTTGGTTCTGAGATTGTGCCTGATTGACGGGTTGCCCACATGGAATTTTCTTTTCCGTGTTTTCCTGACGTGTATGATAGTAACCAGTTTTTTCTTAAAAAGACAGACCTCCCGGAAGTCTTTATAGAAAACGCCCTATTTAGGTGTTACTAACGTGAAGAACACTTGGAAAACTCCAAGTGGCCAACCCGTTGGCCAGGCGCGAATTTCAGTGCTTTTATTCATTCTTCGGTGGACATCTCTCTTATTATCGAAACGACAGGTCCCCATAACAGCCTAAAATAGATTCATGCCACCTTTATACTGGACACCAGCTATACATTAAACAAACCTCCGATCGCTTCATCGCAGGCTGCAGAAAACTCCCTGATTTGATGTCATTTAAAAGATTTCGCCAGTTCATTAGTGGTTCACTTTCGTTCATATTTTACGTATGATGCATAATTAAACCTTTTCCATAATTCTTACTACCAAAGCAGCTTATGGTTGTTTGAAGCCTGCTGTTTAAACCGGCACTCGACACTCGGCCACTATCTTTGCAGATCGCCCATGTGTTGAGTTTCGTTATCTCATCAATCCACGTCTAGCTGAACCTACGGTGTGTTCGGAAAAAGCTCTCTCGCATGCCCAAAAGAACAGAAAAAGTTAAAAATATAAATAAAAAAAAAGCCTTTCAAATTAATGCAAGATTTAAAATTCTAATCAATCGTAGCCAGGTACCACCTAGGCCTTTCTCTTTTATGATTATTATTGTTCAATTGTATACTTCTTTCTTTACGAATTGGTAAAGGGACAACGCGATTAAAATGACTAACTTTTCTAAATTTTCCTTTAGTTTTCTGTTTTTTCTGAGCGACGTAACAAAGGACTGATATTAATTTTTGGAAGAATTCACAAACTGCAATTAACGACGTCCCTAACCAAATACCGATTAATCCTCCAATATGGCTGAAGAGTTCCAATGACTGAAAGAACAAATAAAATACTCAAAACTTTAGAAATATTCGATAAGATTTTAATTTGAAAATTTTAAATTATTTACTTCTATTATAGGTGTATGCTTGTATATTGTATAATCCATACTTGAATAAAAGATTCGAATTCTTGCAACGTTATTGCTGAAAAAAAAATTAATTTAATTAATCATTAATTCAAACGATAATTTTATATTTTTACAAATAACTTCAGTTTAATTTTAAATTAAAGTAGTATTTATTTCGAAAATTTACCTACGTTATATCTTCGTATGTTCTATTCCTCCAGCTTCCCAATTGATCTATTTCAGTTACCTACGTAGAAGAATATTAGAAGAAATAAATATAAAACTCTACAGAATATAGTTTGTTTTTTAAATAGAATTATTTAAACATATTTTTAAAATAACAACACACAACAGATAAATATACATTTTAATTCTTTTCGCTTTTTGGAGCTATAATGTCTTTTACCATGCGGCCATTCCTATTCAGGACTTAGACTCTTCATGGGAATAACCTCACTTAGGACCTTTTACATTATGGCCTTTAGGTTTGTACTGGGGGAGGTCAAGTCAAGATTGGATTGATGGAATAAGGAAGCAAGAGGAGGGCGTGCTTGATTAAATGGGGGAAGGACAAGGTGTAAAATATCAAAATATTCAAAATTTTTAAGGATCCGACCGGAACTTTAATTCAGATCCTGTGGTTTTTTTTTAACCTTTTCGTAGGCATTCAAAAGAGCCTTTCTTCAGACTTATCGGAGTCAGGATTCATTCAGATCCCTAATGGAATGACTGAGGTTCTTCGCTTGGATTCTATCCATTCAAAATCTTGAAGATATTCTTCAAGTTATAAAAGACTGGAATGTCTATTTACTTAAATTTTCAAAAAATAATTTTTTAAATTACAAAGATGATATTATGTTAACGATATGTAAATAGAAAATAATAAAATATTTAAGAATTTATCGATAAAACTCGCGCTACCTGTTTAGGTCGTGGCCAAAGTGTTGTATCTGAATCGACGTCGTAAGAAGTTTGCCTGAAATATTTTAATAAATAAAATTACTTCGATGTCTTTATAAATATTAATATCTAATTATTAATAAAATTACTCCTTTTTTAAGTAATTTCCATTTAAAATAAAATTTAACAGGAAAAATTCATTATTTTACCGACAAGGCACTCTGCAAAGTGCTCGACAATATTCTTTGGTATCATTTGCAACTTTTTTTGCACATCGAATCTTATCTAAAAAGTAAAATATTTTGCATTTATTAAGTTTTTCTAGCTTCATTAAGGAGATTTATTAAAAATTATGAAAAAATTACTTTCATCTTTCTCTCCATCCTTCCATGGAACATCATCAAAAAATAAACTTAATTCGTCCGTGATGTAATTACATTGCTTTAACTGAATCGATTGAGAACATTTCGCCGTGCACACCTGAAAAATTTTGTTATAATTCTGAATAGAAACATTTTTATATGAATACACACGAAAATACATTATAAAATAAGATTTCCAATTGTTGTTTAGTGTAATCCAACATCGAGGGTTTTTTTAACTCTCAGCTCTCTGGGCATTAAGAGGATCTCGTTTTACCAAGTCCATTATGAGTTAGGCCAGGTCCACAATTGAACAGACGGTTGTGAGGGATCACTCCCGAAAAATTCCTGTGTTTATCGACCCTGTTCCGGGTCCCCGGGGCAATTGGCTGCCATCTTAACTACTCGGCCATCTGGCCGTCTTCGAGATCCACTTTCTGTTATTCGAAATTTAGTGTTTTTATTTTTGATTCTGCACGCCCAGATCACCAGAAACTCATTTATAATGATGCCCATTTGTCTGGGCCCACAATGGAGACGGACGTATGGTGAAAGACGAGACCTTCACATCCTGATCGATGCTTAAATCCTGCTCTTTCAACGTTCGGAATTTAGCACAAATTTGGGTTATAATTGTTATATTAGACTCAATATATGTAATTTTCATACTTACCCTTGTATTTGACATTCTTGGATTATTATGCTCCCATTCCAAGCTATGGTAATCGGTGCAATTCGTTTTATATGGACGAGGTAAAAGTTCAATGGCTTTCTAAAAACATTTAATTTTTAATAAATTTTTTCGCGAAAAAATTTAAGTTTACGTGCCGATCAATAACCTTTTGAACTCCAAATGTATAGGAAAATCCTGGATAAATTTCATGTCCTTCCGAATAAGGATCAGGATAAACGTCGGTTGCGTGCACAACAAGTACAATAAGAACGTCTCTCGTCGGCTCCAAATATTCTTCTTCTTCTACATTCAAGATTAAATCTAACTCTGAAAGAATAATTTCATTAAAAAATTTTTAAAATCTATTCAAAGAACAATTATTAAAGTTAAAATATAAATTCTGTTTTCAGTCCGATAGTATAATTAGGACTGTATAAATACAATATGTACGCTGTGTATTATTATAATTATTTTTTTAAAAATAACTGTTTTATTACCTGTACAAATAATTTACTAAAAAGTAACCAATGTAAACTTTAACCAAAAAAAACCTAACAAATGGAAATTCTTATTTATAAAGTGAATAAAACCACTGAAAAACTGGTTTGTTCCTGACCAACGGGATATCCACTTGCGATTTTTCTGCCTTTCTTCAAATGCGTAACATCTAAATGAGGGCCTGTTTCTCATAGAAAGTCTTCCGGAAAGGCATTCCCTTTGGCAGATCGCCCTTGTGTTGGACGTTGCCTTATCCCAGTGTTTTTTCAATCTTCTTCAGTGTTGTTGTAATGAAACTGTGAATGAAGAAAAAGAAAGAAAAGAACAGAGAGACTTTTCAAAATGTCTTTGAAAAACGTAACTAAAAGAATTTATTACTAATTTTTCTACGCAATTCACTTACTTGATGAATTGCTTTCGTCGAAACAGATTTGTCACTTATTTAAAGTGCATCGTGCGAATTTTATTTATATTTTTTCTGTATAAAACTATTGGGGCACGCAATTCAGTTGTTAACTGAGTATATTTTCATTAAATTAATTCCCGCTTTCTTTGTATTTCTGGTATTAATAATTGAAAAATTCCGAAATCTAAAGTGCATTTTCATGTTTATGTCTGGGAATTTTTACTGTTTTATTTATTTATTTTTAAAGTTCACTCCAGTTCAAGAACATTTCAGTACATTTAATTTATAGCAGTAAATAAGTTGTGAAAGTCACTTTTTATGATGATAATATCATTAATGATTGATAACATTCGACCTCGACATAGATTTATTGTAGTATATTTTGATATACTCGTGTTAAAATGATTGTTTTAATGGAAAAACGGGATAAATTCATTTATGTTACGGCTTTAAATAGGTTCACTTAACAATGAAATATTAGTAATGACTAAACTTACCTAACTTTTTATATGTTTATAACGTTCATTTTAAGTGAAATATGAGCGTAGTCCATTAAAGACTGGAATTATAAACAAAAATGTAAAAAATGGCACTGTTATAATTACAATAATTTGGAAAGGTGTTGCAACAGCTAACTTATACCGTTTTAAACAATTTATTTAATTAATAATAAATACAGAAAAATGAGAGTAAGCTGTATTGTATTTCGAAATATGGTTCCCCTAGACCACAATTTAATAGTACCATTTTTGTACTAAATAAATTTTATTTTATAATTTTAATTATGTAATAATTGTATTCTACAGGCTTTTAACAATAGAAGGAGGAAAAGGACATTGCTATTAATTTGTTTGTATAGGGCAACGCGACTCGCGGGCGATCTGCCAAGGGAGACCTCCAAGAAGGACTTTCCATGGAAAATTGGCCCAATTTTTATGCTTAAAAAAGTGAAGAAAACCCGAAAAACTCCACGTTTATGAAGCGCGAATATTCACTCGGCCAGCACTACTGTTGAATAACCGTCATTAATACTAATCACCCGGACCTATTGGGACTAATGGGAAATGTGCCCTTCAGTGCAGAATATTGTTAAAGAGAAATGGACGAAGAAGAAAGGAATACTAAATAATTGAAAGGAAAATACATGAAAGAGAAGAGATTCAGAAGTGAGAGAGAGAAATGAGTGGGTTGGAAGGAAGTGAAAGAGTACAATTGGGCAATTGATGATCATTTTAAAAGAATAGAGAAGGAAGAAATACTAAAAACAATTAAAAAGATCATCTTAGTGTCTACAAAAAGTGCCAAAAAGTGAAAAGTATTCCAGGGAAATTGACTACAGATTAATTTACCTTAATATTTTATTTAATGTTTATAGAATATTTATATTCCGCATTTTAATTTATGTATTATAGTAATTAAATCAAACAATTTTTTTTTAACAAAGTTCATTAAACAAAGAGAAAATGAGCTCAATATTCGTTCATCCTCCTCGTAAATTTTTTTATCTAAATTGACAATATCTTTTTAGAAATTTTAATTGTTAAGAATAGAATTAATTATTGTAGATAAATTAAATCGATATAGAAGGAAAAGGGTCAGAAATTGGGTCGTTCAACTTTAATGTATGTGATCGAATTGCTGGCGTGAATTCTCTATTGTTTCTATCGTGACTCTTGTTAACTTCTTGCGAGTTGTTTGTGTATATAAAACATAAAAAAGTCAACTATTAAGTTCTCAGGATATAGTTATAACACAGCATTTACATCACTTTAATCTATTTTATAGTAGTAAAGTAGATTATTTTGGACATGTACTGTAAATAATCTACCTACTTAGTAAAAAAATAGAGTCCCTTTTTTTTCTCTGTTTGTATTTTTAAGGGAAATTGTCCGCTGACTAAAAACATTTCATAAGTAAATGAGCGTAAAATACGTTTAGGTATTTCAAACCTTAATATAGAGCCATCCTAAATAGCCATAAAATAAAACGCCAATGATTCAATGAATACTGACAAATGGATCTTCAAATCACGTTACTATATCCATATATAATCTATATTTGACTGTAAATATTCCTTCTGTTGCATGGCCTATATATAAGTTTATATGGAAACTTATTAAAGTTTATAACTTTTTTAAAATCAAAATTACTTAATAAATATTTACTCACCACTTAATTCTTCCCAAACATCCGATTCGGAAGCCTTTAACGTGTCATTATCTCCAACCGATTCTAAACTATAACAATTTCCAAAATCTGGATCATGAAAATATTCGAATCGTCTGCGTACGTGAAAAAAAACAACCAAATTACTCTAAAATTTCAGTAAATTTAATTATAAACAATTAAACAAGCTCGTACTTAACACATTCATTGCTATTCATTGGAGGAGTTCCGGTAAACGTACAAGAGATGATCATATCAGATATATTGTGACCCAAAATTCTCCTAATATTTGGCTTGTCCTCGACTAAAAGTTGTAATTGTATTTTAGGAATATCATTTTCTTTCAGCTAAATATAATAAAATTATAAATTATTATTAATTAAATATAATGGGAAAAAAATAATCCAGCAACGAGTTGCGTAAATTTCCCGCTGTTATGAGATTTTATTCAAAAATAACTTTTATATTATTAATTATTATAAAATAACAAAAATCTTCCCACCTCCTTAACCTTTAACCACAAAAATTTAATAGCATGAATGTCATTTATATACAAGTTTCCATGCCAAGTTTTGTTTCTTAATCTTCATCCCATCCTGAGATATTAATTGAAATAAACACCGACAAGCGCACACACGGGATTTGTCCCCTTTTGTTTTCTATATTTTTGGGTTTAGGAGGTCTTAAAATGTGGAAATTTGAGACCCACTAACACCATTTTGACACGATTACACTACTTTTACAATACATAACAACCGAAAAAGTAAAATCGATGTTTCGAACATTAAAACTTCGAGTGTTTACCGTTATATTCCAGATATTCTCTTAATTACTCGCATGTTTAAAGTGTTTATTGTTAAGTTAAGAAGATTATATGAATTAATCATATTTATTTACTTGTATGGAATGACGCAATGTTTGAAATTGCTCCCTTAAACATAATCTGCACGCTATGATTGTTTTATGTGCGTGCTATTGTTACATTTACAAAACTTCATTATTTTGATTTTTTTAAAATCAAAATATAATATTTATTTTTTAAAAAAAACTTAATAACATTTTTCGGATTATTTTACATAAAATAATAAAGTTTTATTAAAATTACTTACTTTAATATGCTCTAATTCATAAGAATTGTTAGGACAGAATCCATTATTATATTTACAATATTCACTCTTCTTTATCCTGTAAATTATATCTCGAGTTATTTTATTGTGTAGAATATTTAGTAAAATAATTTTTGAAAACTCCAAAAAAAAGTTTTCAAAAATTACAAATTAATCTTTAAAGAATCTTTTAAAATTTCAAGATGGAACTTGAAATTTTTTGTCATGTGCCATCTTGAGCCATCATCAAGAGCTATTCTCAAGTTAAAATATGGAAATGGGCATTAATACCCCTAAAGTTCGTTTTTTTCCCTGTTAATTCTTTCACCCTATAAGCACTAATAGGGCCAGGCACATGGTAGAGGGAGGAAAGAGTCAAAAAGTTTAATTTATATTTGGAAAGGGGTCGAGAAGCAAAACAAATTGAAAACCTCGAGCATAAACCATGGTTATATTATATTCTTCAATATAAAAATAAGAATTTTTGGATAATTTATACAACTTTAAAAATAAATAAAGTACAAGTGGATAAAATGAATTCTTAGAACTTACCTGTTGTTGTTGCATAGGGTTACAGAAGGGAATTCCATTAAACCTTCCGTCGTAACAACAACCTCTACCCTTGTAGGGTAATCATAATACTGTTGAAGAAAGAGTGTTACTTGGTATATGAATCCAGTCAAACAACAAATAACGATAAATATCCAAATAAACCTTTCAAACTTCCCTTTAGCAGCTGCTATATTGCTAACTCCGGCTATAGACGACCCTTTAAAAGTATTTAAACAATACTTTGAAACGGATAATTGCTGTTTTGAAGGAGAAGACGAGATGCTGTTAATGCTACGTGATGGATTTTTCCATCCATGAACTTGACAATTCGCGCAATAATTCGAATCTATTTCAGATTTCGCCATGTTGTAACGGTAAACGAAGATAGTTTGTGTTCACGATCGATTAATTTTGATGTTAGAAAGTGACTGAAGATGACGCTGATCGCAAAAACAAAAAGTTTTGATCATTAATAACACCAAAAATCTTAAAATATTCGAATATATTACGTTTGAAACAAATACAGCGTGCTAATTACTCAACGAATAACACAGCCAAACTCGATTTAGCACCACCGAATGGAGTGCGGCGTTAAATCGAAGTATAAATAATGAATAACGTTTGCAATACAGTGTCCTCTATTTCATATTCTTGGGGAATAGATTCACGACTATTCACTGACGTTTTACAAGGGTGGCACTATTTAGGAAGCGCAATATCGAGGTTTGACTGTGTATTATATAAATAAATAATTTGTGTCCCATATATGTCTGAAGTCGAAGTTACACGAAGTCCCCTAAATCTAATTTGCCTGGGTACCACGAAGGTATAACGCGCCACTGTTCGTATTACAGTAAAACCTGTCTATGGCGACCATCCACGGTTCCTTCAAAAAGTGGTCTTTTAGGCAGGTGGTCATCCAATACAGGTGGTGCTGTAATACCGTATTTCCGTACGTATTTTGCGCACTTTTTAGCCATTTCTACCAGTAGCATAGCGTAGTGGGGGTGGCCCGCCCCGGGCGGCACTTTTTAGGGGGCGGCAAAATTATTTACTGTGAAATTTTTAGGGGAAAGAAAATTTTCACAATAAATAATAATTAATATCTTGTAAGAAATTGAACCATTTTATTTCATATTTTCTTCCACCTACGACTCGGACCGATTGAAATGAGCACGGAATAGTGTTACCATCCATCCGGATAGTCCGGGAATCGACTCGCCGTCCGGGGATATCGTGGTCAACCTGTTGACCTTTTTTTTTTTCTGCTTCTACGATTTATTCGTATATATATATATACACCTCCAATATCCAATACAGCTAACTGTAACTAATTTAGAACCAGCATTCACTGCACATCATTCTTCGCATTGCAAAATGACATACGCATGAATCAGGAACTTCTATTCGAACCAACCTCACCTGCCGTCCGGGTCAGCGATTTTAATAAAGTGGCAACACTAGCACGGAATTTTTCATAACTTATTCTGTGACGAAACTGATTTTTAGTGTTTTAAATTGAGATACCTAAATAAGGGGGGAGAAATTTTCCTCCGCTCCGGGCGGCTGACACCCACGTTACGCCACTGATTTCTACTAAGCAAAACTCGAGGTGAGCAAAGATAAGCGAATTTTTTCAACGATAGGGCTATATTAGTATTGTATTTTATTCTTATCGGATAACCCGATATACAGGAGTCGTCATGATATTTTAAGACAGCCTATATTTTAAAGATTAATACAATATTCGCATTTTCTCGATTATTAAGCACACTTTCTTTTTTCCGAGTTAATTAATTCGACTCGGTTCTTTTTCGTTCGTTCCTCAGTTACATGTTATCAATATACAAGCGCGTCCTATCTCTCCATCACTTTGCTTTTGGTTTTCGTTAGTTTATTCTTATTTTAACTTTAAAAATACCGTATTTTTTTTTTAATATTTAATATTTTCTTAATTAATTAAGTACAATAAGAAAAATTATTAATTAATAATAAAACGATTTTATTTTTTTTTTCTCATTATACGATTTCATTACAATCGCGGAATCGAAAAAGGAATTAAAACTGATTTTTGCGTTAATGCGTTTATTGTTTTTTTTGAATATTTTGCACGCGAAAATTACTTGGATATTATTTTTCTAAAAATATCGTGGAAATAAGGTAGGTTGATACAGAAGCTATATATCGCACGTGTACTGTATATGAGCTTCAAAATAAATAAATAAAAATAGATTTTATCAAACGATGAGATCAGCCGATTAATTGTATCGTGTACAATATTTTACACCCCCAAGGAAAATACTATAGGTCTAGGGTAAAATAAATTTTGTTTTCCCACAGTTAAACTTCGCCGCTAATTGCTGTTGTGATAACTTTAATACGATCTTCTAACGACAGCACTTTGCATTTCGGACATTTTCCAACAAACTGAAATAAATTTCCTTTGTTGCTAGACTAATTTATTAACACCTGCGCCTAATTTCGAGGGTGGGAGAAGTGCCCGAGATGAGTTCGAATGAGAGTTTAGACTAATTCATTATATTAGGAGGCGGAAACGTTGTTCAGATGGGTTCTTATATTAGTTTAGACCAGATACATTCGCGAAAGTGGTCGCTTATTACAGGTATTGTATGTTGTTTCGGACCAAAAATTGATGCCCGCGGTCGCGTTACACAGGTGGTCGTTTAATACAGGTAACTTATACGAAGACTATGGATAAACTATTCCGTGCCAGAAATTTTTGCCCGTTTTGACAGGTGCCCGTCGAATGCAGGTGGTCGCCTAAGCAGTTTCCACTGTACTTGACATTACACGATACTAAACACTCCAACAATTTTTTTTAGTAGTTCGACCTGGATATTTAGAGCCTTTCTATCAAATACGTGAGGGCATTATAAAAAAAAAAGACAGCCTTAGTCTATTATTTTTTAAAATATTTGTCTGTATTTTCGACATTCAAAATAGTTGGAAAAAATTTGTTTAATTTTGCTCTTATTGAAAAGCATAATTATTAAAAATCAAGATTTTGAAGATAATAAACTGATGCGCTCTTCTTGATCCCCATTTGAAATCCTCTTCCATAAAATATAAGCCCAAACGATAGTTGTCTGTAAAGAAAATTGACGCCACGTTATTTTAAATTAAATACAACGTATTAAATTATATTGATAAAAGTAATTTTTAGTGTATTTACAATAACAAACTCTACCACCGCAGCGAAGAAAGTAGCAGTAGCATATCCATAGTATCGACTGAATATTTGACCTAAGAAAGGACCTATTAAACATCTGAAATATTTTAAAATTATTAATTATGCCCATGAAAATATTGTACTATAATTTATACGCACAAATTATGAACATACCCAGTTGCAGTCGCCGATAAAAGATTTCCAAAAATGGCTGAGTAAGTGTGGACATCATCAGGAAAGCCTCTCTTCCTACAATCAAAAACATTATTATTATTATTCATATATTAATAGCTAAAAATTAAAAATACATATATAAATAACCAATTTAAGCCTTGAAAATAATGTTTTAAACTCACATTGTACCTTGAATACCATCGAAGAAAGCGCATATAATCTGTCCTCCAATTCCAGCATCCAGGAGAATTTCAGAAACAATAACCAACCAAAGCGAACTAAAAATTATATTAAATTAATTTATTTTTAACTCAAAATTTTTATAAATTTATAATGATATTAAAGCGTAAAACACCTTCTAAAAGGGATGAATGGTGGAGGTCCTACAAGAAAGAAACCACAACACGTAATTGAAACCGCAACTCCTGTAAGAACTCGAACGTTATCCTATTAAAAATAAGAATTTTAAATATAATTTTAAAGTATAATTTGTTAAATTTTATAAAATAATTACCAAATAATCACACAAACGACCCCAAAGTGGTACACAAATTACGTATACGCAATTCAAACCAATGGTAATTGGCATGAGAATCTTCTTGTCTAGATGAAACTATGGAGGTTTATTTTATATATAAAAGTGGAGTTAAACCGTTAATTTTAGCAGGAGAAAAGAGTTTAGATTCATAAAACTATATATAAATCTTTATAAAAATAAAAATAATTGCATCTTACACGATTTAAACTCTCTTCTAGTGTGTTGCTGTTGAAACCAATGGCAAAATAAGCGCTAAAACAGATTAATAAATTCATTAGGAAATGATGATGGAAGATTAATTTCTTTAATTCTATAAATTCTGTCTTAAGGTCTTCTCCTGAAATTCCATATATATATAATTAATTAATTTAAAATTAATTTAAAACGTTATAATATACATAAACTTACTTTCGCACGGTAAATATTTTCTAGCAAGTAGAGAAGACATAAATAAGAAAGTACCCAAAATCAAATATGGTAAACTGTATCCTCCAATCTGTAATTACGCTAATGAATAATGATGAATATGTAAAAATATCATTTATTGAATGAAAAATTCAAGAAATGACTCACCTCACTAAATAATGCTCCAAAAACAGTGCCAGTAAGCATACCTAAACCATTAAGTGTCTCCATCATGGCCTGTAATTTTAAATTATAAAATCGTTCTGTTAATTATAAATTAAATTATATAAATTATAATAATAAAAAAGCATTGTAAAATAGAATTTTACAATGGTTTTTTCATCCCTACAATGGGACATGTCTGGTGAAGGACGATCCGAAGCAAAGAATCTCTGAGATTCCTTACCCAAATTCAAACCGGTTTAACGTATTGCATTGGATATTTCAGCCAAATTAAATGTTATAATAAGTCACTTACAATGATAATAGCTCTGTTTCGTGGAAATATAGTAACTATCAAACTGTATATGAAAGCAGAGTAAATTGTGCTTCCTATTCCATCCAATATTCTAGACAGGAAGGCTAAAACGTAGAATGCGATATTCCAAGGCAAATAGGAAATTCCCCTGAAAAAAAAAACAAGAAATGATATTTTACATAAGTTATAATTTAATTAAAGAACATTTATAAAGTGTTACTTACGCCATTAAAAAGGCTGCAGATCCAGACAATAAAAGTGAACCATAAGCTAAAACATTCGGTCTTATAGGCTAGTAAATATAATATATTTTCATATTTTAAAGCACGATAAACATAGATTTATATAAATTTATATAAAAATACTCACTATTTTTCCGACAAAAGGCGAGAAAAAAATGACTATTATCTGATAAATAGATAATACGGCTTCATATAAAAATGGACGATTCCCTCGCTTCTTCATCTAAGAAAAATTTTAAGTATTATAAAAAATATATTTATTCATTTATTAATTTAGTTATATGTACAGACTTCTTCAGGAAAAAGTGGAATCAGTAGGACATAACTAATCCCCATCCAATAATTGCACACCATCAATGTGATTAAGAGAAATTTTCTATGTCTTGACGTAAAAGATTTGGATTCATCGTTGAAATCATTCATATTTTCTATTACTTTCGTAGGATTATTTTCCATCTTATACCTCTAAAAATAGAAGAAAAAACATTGAGTTTAAATTTGAAATTTCTTAAAATATATTCACTTAAAGAGCTTAATAAATAAAAGATATAACTAAATATTAATGCACGCTACACTTAAGGAACATGGTATAACGTGTTGCTCCAGACACTTCAACTACATTTATACAATATCGATCCACATTAAATTAACTTTAGAGTATAAAATCTTGTATAAATCTTGAGTATAAAATAAAATCATGCTCACTTTCATTTAATTTACACTTAAATAATATACATTTAATAATTATCTTATGGATGAAAGTTGTATACACGTTCATCGTATGAATAAACCAAAAGATTTACAGCATAAATTGTCATATAATTAACACTTCTCGTAGCTATTAAACACGATAAAAGCTAATTTTAATGATATTTCTAAACACATTGAAAAACTACTGGGATAATTTACAATTGTTTTTAATAATAAAGTAGCTCATTTACATATAAACTATAAAATTTATTGAATTTTTCTCATACTTACTTTTTTTATTATAAAAAGTTTATCAATAAAATAACATTATTTGCTCTTAAGACTGGCTACGCGATCACGAATATTGTCAGCCATATATAAGTAGAAGACTTTTTATCCAAGGGCATTACTGATCGATTATTATTTTTGGGCTTATTATTTCGATTATAGTTCAAATTATTTTAAAATTAAATTTAAATAAATTAGTAAGTAAGGCAATATTGTTTTCTAAGCTAACAAAAATTTAAATATACAGTAAAACATGAAAATAAAGGTGTTAGTTAGCCTTCTGCTCTGGAGAGCACCGGATCGAATCGAAGCAGGTAACCTCCATTTTTTTTCAAGTTCCATTATTTGCTAATACAACGAGGTACTTCTACGTGACAAGTGAGTGGCGTGAATACATTCACGAGAAGCAGTAGAACACGTGGCGCTAAGCCACGTGTTCTACCGCTTCTCGTGCACGTTTGGGCATGGTGGAGAATAGAAGTGGGAGAACAGGTGGCATGATGGAGGATAAAAGCAACCCGTAATGGGCATGGTGGAGAATAGAACGTTAGAACACGTGGCATGGGCATGGTGGAGGATAGAAGCAACCCGTTCCACAATGCCACGTGTTCTACCGCTTCTCGTGCACATGTGGGCATGGTGGAGGATAGAAGCGGGAGAACACGTGGTATTGTGGAAGATAGAAGCAACCCGTAATTTGCCCAGACCCGTAACGGGCATGGTGGAGGATAGAAGCAACCCGTTCCACGTGCCACGTGTTCTACCGCTTCTATCCTCCACCATCCCCATTGTGGGTCTGGCCAAACACGTGATAGGGTCTCAGTGCCAAAAATTTAAATGACTAAATTCATTTTAACTGTTTAATTTAAAGACACACACAAAAAAAGATATTTCGGCTGGATTCTGCATTAGTTCTAAGCATGATTTGTTAGTTTTGAAGAAACTTTTATGCTAATCTTTTATGCTTAAATATATTTCAGGATCAAAAGATTAGCATCAAAGCATTTCGGCTGGATTCTGCATTAGTTCTAAGCATGATTTGTTAGTTTTGAAGAAACTTTTATGCTAATCTTTTGATCCTGAAATATATTTAAGTATCTAAGGATCTGTCATATACTTAGATACTTAAATATTTTATGTATCTATGAGAAATTACATTCCATATATATCATCCACGAGCTAACTTGATAACCACAAGATGTCTCCAGATTTATCTGACCGATTTATATAAACATGACATAACGTTATAAGTGATATGATTATAGGTGATACTCGCTACCCAGTTTCCCTAGGAGGGCTCCAAAGAGGCCCTTCTAGGGAAGCTGGCCCTTATTATACCACACAGATAGCTTATGTGTTGGGTTGCCGTATCAATTAGCTGATATATATCATTGGCTAATTAATTACCAAGAGATTTCACAAGATGTTTTGCTTACAAGTCTCATTGTACAGGGTTTGTATGGAAACATACGCATTTCAGATCCCTATGACTGATATTTTTTCTATGCAAATAACTTACAGCAAGGCACAAGATGATAGAAATATTTCTGAGCTTGTTCTTCAAAAATTACGTGATGACGCTAAGAAATATGAAGATTAATATATTGTTTTCTAATTGTTGAATTTCTGATACACGAACATATATTTTTATATAATTCAGAACGTCGCCATTTTCTGCAAATTCCATAAAAATATGTACTTCGGAACCGAAGTCTATGATGCGATTTACTTGGATGATATGATGGTGAGATATTTCCGAAATAATTCCCAATTCTCGAGGAAAAATCGTCGAATGTATTCCGAAGAATTTTTCTGTAATCTCGAAATTATTTTAATTGCCAGTGGCTTCCATTTGCTTTCGACATATCTGAAAAGGGCAAGAGATTCTACCATATCTTATACAAAAATTATAGAATTTTACAGTCGGATACTAAACAAAACTTCAAAAATTTTACCTTACTTTACAGTAGGATCCTTCTCCGATTATTTTTCTTAATTTATAACCATTTCTCTGGAGGAATTGGCTAAGAATGAAAGATTCGGAACTATGCGGCTGGATGACATTGATATTGGTTAAATATAGATTTCTTGTAACTGGCTCCTATTTAGGCTTTACAGACTTAGAGAAAACCTAGAAAACTCCGTGTGGCCAACAAGTCCTGGAAAGGCGCGAATCCACCGACTGAACTTCCAGTGTTCAGGGAACAGAACCGCATGGCCACTTGTGGTCCAAATGGAAAGTCATTTGAAAATAACATATTGCATAACATGCCATAGATTGGAGGGAATTTTTTTTTTTTATTTTTGTGCCTTATATTTATGAGTTTTTAAATACTACGAAAATAAATGAATGTTAAGCATAATTAAGTACAAAAGAAATTACAATAAATAATTATTTATTTTAAATATCACAAATTTAATTGTTTTACATTACGAATATGACATTTGATATACAATATTTACATATTTTCACGAATTTTCATTAAAAATAATTAACAAATTCGAAAAAAATAATAATAAAAATCTGTTAAAGTTACGAATGTTAACCTGTTTAGAATATGGCACCAAGTGTAGAAAACGTTCAATTTTTATTTTGTATCGCAGATAATTTCCTATTCCGGAGTTTGGAAGAGAGACGGATACGAATATCACCGTGAAAATTAATAAGTAGCATGCCTACAATATGCGAAAGCGATTTAACGAAGAAAAAAAAATTTGTTCACGTTTCCGCCTCTAGGGGAAGAAATGGCGTTGTAACACAATCTAGGCATTGCCATTCTTTCTCTAGTGGCGGGAATTTAAACTAGTTTTTTTTTTTTTCATTTGCTAAATTGTTAGTTTCATAACGACAGTTCCATCCGCCATTTTCCAAAAACTTCAGAATAGAGTAACTTATAACATCCTGATAATGGCTAAAACATCCTTACCTTTTTATTTTATAAAGAATAAAACATATACCGAGTAATCATAATTAAATAACCCTTACTCAACGCTGTTTCGGGTTTTATTTCGTGTGGCTTTTTAGTCTTGAGGACATTTACAAAATGTGATTTATTAATTAAGGACACTGAAAATTTGGCAGCCTCGAAAGACTAAAGCATTAAAGAAGATGGTTGAACCAAATATTTTTGGCTTTCAGATTTTTACACACTTTAGATTGGAAATCACATTGAGCATTATCCTGAATACCTATGGTTTCTGTACAAATAAAGTATAAGTGAGTTCTAGCACTTATTCATTTTGCAGAAATGTCTTCTGCATATCCTGAAATGCCACCATGTCAGATTATTTTTGCATTGGACTGCTAAATGTCTATTGAGACAACGTTGAATAGAGGCATTTCAGTTACGATCCTCCGGTATAATCACAGTAATTAGAATGAAGCAAAGTATACAGAAATATCAGAATTCTCTAGAAGATTAGTGAATTTCCTTATTGTCTTTATTGGGCATAATTTTTATATAAAAATTATTTATTAATTTCTTAATTTTGTCTTACGAATTGGTAAAGAAGACATGTGATTAAAACAGACAACTTTCTTAACTTTTCTCTGATTTCTTCTTCTCCTGAAGCAATAAGTGAAGATGGAAATTGTCTTCTCGAATAATTCACAAACGGCAATTAATGATGTTCCTAACCAAATTCCAATTAATCCTCCGAGATGGCTGAAGAGTTCTAAAGACTATAAAATAAAATTATTAATTTAATTAATTTTTGCATGTTTATAATTAATAATTATTAAATAAATAAATAAATAAATAAATAAAAGTACTTCTATAATAGGAATGTGCCTATACATTGTATGATCCATACTGGAGTAAAATACCCTTATTCTAGCAAGATTGTGACTGGAAATGAATATTTTAATTATTCTTTTATAATTTAATTAATTAATAATTTATACAAATTATAATTATTAATATATTATGAAGTCATTTACCTAATATCGTCGTAGGATCTGTTTCTCCAATCGCCCAATTCTTCTAGTTGTGAGTACTAAAATATCAAAAATTAGTAATTTTAAATACGATATTTGTTTAAATTATTGAAATTTGAATGGAAATTAAATTAAATTAAACAGAATATTATAAATATTAACGTTAAAAGATGCCATTTTTTTTTTTTTACTTTTTTCTTCCTAGGCCAAATGGTCGCATCTGATTCTACCTCGAAAGAACTTTGCCTGTAATTATTTTACTTATAAATATATTAAAATTATCTCAAATTTTTCTACTTTATAATAAAAAAATAATATATTTAAAAGTAAATAATTTAAAATATTTAATGATTTAATCACTTACCAACATGGAACTCTGCATAACTTACGACAATACTCTTTAGTGTCGTTTGCTATCTTTTCGGCGCATTTTATTTTAACTAAAATTTTAAAAAAAACTGATGTAAATTATTATAATTTTATTTAATTATATTATTTTATAGCTTATACCTTCGTCTTTCTCTCCATCTTTCCAGGGAACGTCGTCAAAAAATAGACTTAATTCATCAGTAATGTAATTACACTTCTTCAATTGGATAGACTGGGAACATTCTGCAGTACACATCTAAAATTATTGAAAGATTTAACATCTAAATTTAATTAACTTGCGGTAAAGTATATTTAAAGTGTATTTACTCTTGTATTTGACATCCTATCGTTGTTCTTTTCCCATTCCAATTTACTATATTCTGTACAATTAGTTTTATAAGGAGGTGGAAGTAACTGAATGGATGTCTGAAAAAATTCATTTTTTTTTTCTTTATTACATTTTATTGAATATATACGTTAATATTATATATTTAAATAGATATTTAAACCTTTTGTACGCCAAATTTATAAGAAAATCCCGGACGAATTTCGTGTCCTTCCGAAAAAGGATCAGGATAAACATCTGTAGTATGCATAACAACTGTAATGGCTACGTCTCTCGACGGTTCCAAATATTCATCTTCTTCAACGTTCAAAACTAAAACTAATTCTGTAAATAAATATTTAGTTTTAAATAGCTTAAAACTTATTAACCTATAAGAATGTTTATATAAGTTATAGAGATGTTAATAACGAGTAAAATTTTCATTAAGTCCTGTCCTACTCGAGATATGTATGACACGTATCTCCTCACTTCCTCGACCTTTAACCACCAAAATTTAATAGAATCAAACACCCTAATACAGAAACCTCCCTGCAAAATTTCAATTATTTTTGACAAAAAGAACAGGAGTTATTAAGCTATAAAGTGAGTAAACAAAACTGTTCGTTGAGGAAATGTGTAAAAACTTTATGGACTGCTTTCAACATCTATTTATTTTGAAGTGAAACAAATCACGCAACACTCGGTTGAATAGGAAATAGTTTATAAAAATATCTGTCTATTGCTATGCAATTTTTTAAAATTATTTCTCGTTCTTAACGCAGGAAATATCATGAATAGACAACCCCTACATTCATTCGCACCTTTATGTTCGTGTTTAATTATACACAATTAAATTTTTTAATCGAGTTAATTAATTCAAATTGATATATGGCCTATAAATTCCCACTGTTGTACGTCTGGCTGTCTTTCCTTAAAATATTCAATGCGAATTCTTAATAATATACTACAATAAACTTATATTGTATACACAATACAAACTGTTTATTTGCTGAAGTAAATTAATTGGTAAACAGAGGCAAGCTGTTATATGCTTTTTTGTAGGAAACATTTTCAATCAATAGAATTGTTACATTGATTTATTGTTCCTACTGTTTTACTGTTTAAAACAAGTGTTTTATACTTAAAGCTACTGTTTAGTCTATTATTGTTTAAAACAATTGTTTACAGGAATTCGATTATTACTATTTAAAACTGTTGGTTTAAACAGCTACTATTTACTAATTTAGTACCTAAAACTACTGTTTAAATAATAGTATCATTATTTATAGTCTACATTATCGACCCTTCTCTTACTAACTTACTTAAAAATTAGTCAAATGGATCAAAAAGTTTACAAACTTTTCGAATTGACTGATGAAAGAGGATCGAGTTATGACATCTTTCATACTATAAAATACGCTAGATTAATTTTATTATTTTTACAATAAAATGGCAACAAAAGTGTGAAATTGATCGATCGCTTCTTTCACTAAAATAAGATCAATGTCTGTCCATCACGAGGTATTCAGATCGCCGACACCATTTTATTTATATTTAACCTTAACCTAGAAACAAAAGAACTTTTAATACTTGTATACGTAACTCTTCATCGTGTTTTTATTGTTACATAATAATTAATAAACATACATTAAAGGCGATTATCTCTTCATGTATAAATTCCGACGTATTGTCGTATACTTATCGAGTATTAAAACTCTTCGTCCTGCAGGTACTAAGAAGGTCTCTTTTTAGGAAGTTCAGTAAGGCCCACAAGATCCAAAGCAAAGTAAAGCTGACTTGCTTTCTTTTAGCTCTTTTACTCACAAAACGACCTCAAAATTATACCCTTGTAATGGGCCGTTCTATTCGTTTCCATTCAAGTTCGTCTAGGCCCACACACAAGTGAATGACGAATAGATCCCAATTAAATACAGTTAAATAAATAATCGTACATCATAAAATTGAAATCTACAATTGCAAAATAATCTTTACCACTTAATTCTTGCCAAACATCAGATTCAGAAGCTCTTAGGGCGTCTCCATCGTCTTCTACCGATTCTAAACTATAACAATTCCCGAAATCCGGATCATAAAAATATTCAAAACGGCTGAAAATATTTCAAAAATTTCACACACACATTTTTAATTTGAATTAATTGCGAATTTAATAAAATATATATAAACTAACTTGACACATTCTCTTCCTTTCATGGGCGGTATGCCTGTAAATGTACACGAGACTATCATATCCGATATATTATGACCCAAAATCTTCCGAATATCGGGCCTATCTTCAACTAGAAGCTGAAGTTGTAACTTGGGAATTTCTTTTTCTTTCAGCTACAAATATATATATATAATTTTATTATCATTATTTTAATTCAATATTTAAAATTTTGCATATAATATCAATTCTTTATTTCTTTATCACTTTCTCCTCGTATATTAAGTTAATTTTTTAATGTTATCAAGTATGGCATTATCAGATAATCACTCTGGTAGCAATTAAAACGAAGTGGACAACAAATACACGCTATAATCTTTTTAATATTGTAAAACTATATACGTCTTGTTAGGTTCGATAGGAGGTTATCGGTTAATACAACAAATTAATTAATTAAAAACCCTGTAACGAGTTGCATAACTTTTCCGGCGAAAAATATTAGCAAAGTTTAAAATTGTATGAAGCGCTGTAATGCGATTATATTAAAAAAAATAACTTTTATATTATTAATTATAATAAAAATAGCAAAAGGCTTACTCTTGAGAATAAAGTTGAGTTTATAAACATATTATAAATGATTATAACGATTAAAATTTTTACTAAGTCCGACCCCACTCGATATATAATACATGACTTATTCTACCTCTTCATCCCTTCAAACTTTAACTATCAAAATTTAATAGCATCAATGTCCTTGATATACAAGTTACCGTGCCCATTCTGAGATATTAAACAAAACATGCTTACACACGGAATTTTCCCCAATCTTTTGGGTACATTGGGTCTGGAAAAGAAACCCGAAAAGTCAAATTTGACACTATACCAATATTTTCGCGTGTAATTAACTAATAGCCTTCTCCTCCATTAGAAGATTCCCTTTATTTTCAACGTGTTTGTTTGATGGGACATGACAACACAACACACAGAAGGAATGCCAAAGTGTCGCCTCCCAGGAGGACTTGCTAAACACGCGAGTAAAATACCAGAGAAAGGAGGCGCAAAATTGTTCAGCAGTTAATCCATTCGAGCACGGTGGTACTCGCAATATATAATAATAATAAACTTAAAAGCAAGAGGTCCTATTATAGTTTATGTGTAAATCTGCGTTATTAAACGTATATTAACATGAAATAACTTACTTTCATTTCGTCAAGTTCTATAGGATCAGAAGAGCACGAACTCTTATTATACTTACAATATTCGCTCTTCCTAATTCTGTAAATTAAATTTAAAACAGAAATCTTTGAATAATTCTTTATAAATTAAAGGAATCAAATGAATCTCACTCTATACCTGTTGTTGTTACAGAGCGTTACAGAAGGGAACTCCATTAAACCTTCCGTCTTAACAAGTACTTGTACTCTTGTAGGATAGTTATAATAATGTCGAAGAAAGAGTGTTACTTGGTATATGAATCCAGTCAAGCAACAAATAACGATAAATATCCAAATAAACCTTTCAAATTTCCCTTTAGCAGCAGCTATATTGTTAACTCCGGGTATTGAGGATTCTTTAAAGATATTTAAACAATATTTCGTAGTAGATATACATTTCTTAGAAGAAGGAGGAGAGGAATTACATATATGAAATGAAGAACGTTTCCATCCGTGTACGGGGCAATGAATTCCAGAATTTAAATCACTTTGAAACTTCGCCATGCTCTACAGTAAATGAATATCGCGCTGCGCTTTTGATCGATTTAGTTTTATTATTTTAGTATAAAATATAAACTAAAGAGGACGCTGATTAACACCATGTGTTGTACTCTACTGTATTAATTTAACAATGGAGTAGAATGCTACTTGTGTAATAAATTTGCATTTTTTAGACTTTTAAAACTACTTTTAACTTAATACCTATTGATCCGAAAAAAAATAAAAAGTAATATTTTAAATATTTAAATAAGAAAAATATTTTACTGATGTAACATAAGTCCGTGTCTAAAACATATAAATTGTATTTATTAATATATTTATAGTCAACTCGTTATTACTTTCAATATATTTAAAAAAAAAAATTACATATAATTAATCAGTATATGAAGATGTTTAGAAGAAGATAAACCATTCTTGAAATATTTAAATTATATAAAGGAAAGTTAAAATAAAGATTGCTATAAATCTCTTCAATGTTTATATATATAAAGGGTGTTTATAATTAAAGTTCCACTTTGAAACGGCCATAAAATGAAAACTACTGGACAGAATGCTATCAAACTTGGTAATAGTGTACAGGACGTCATGGGATTTTTATTTCCCGCAAAAAATAGTTCAAAAACTCACCACCAACGGGAAATGGCGCTGTCTGCAATATTGTTAAACGAAATAAGACACGAAGACATCGTTGAAAATGTTTTTAATCGGTTTTAAAACGCGTTACAGAGTATATTCAATACAGTGTCCACCATTTTTGACATCGCATTACTGTGTTCTTAACAGTAGCTCTTAGCATATCAGGAGGAATTTAACTTGCTTTCAGAAAATGCAACGTCTCTCTCGTCCACTGTGGGCCAGTGAATGAGAGAGACGTCGTACACACGGCGCCCAAATTCAATTCGCCCTTGGCAGACCACTAGTTTGAGAGGAGCGCTCGTTTTCCGACAAGCACGCACACACCCGACCGTGTATCGTTGTCCGCTATCACTACAGGTCCTTGTGTCTGTCCGTACTATTTCGATACATCTGAATGAGGAACATTCTACCTAGTTCATCTATGGGAAAATCGTAATTTGTTACTTGAACATTGTTTTTATTAATTAATAATAATCCGATTTTCTCAGAAGGGTGTGATGGCCGTGTTCCAGGATCGTCTTCCAATATGGTTGATAATTCTTTAGTTTCCTCGTTTGCGCTAAGAAAAAAATCTTCTTGACCTTCTTCATCATTTATAGCTCCATCTTCATTCAATAATGAAGGTAATTCTTTGTATGTACTGTAATTTGTAACTCTTCTGTATTTTGTACACTAGTACTAGCTATAGACAGAACGTTTTCTTCGTTATCAGTTTTTAAATATTTTAAAAGACTATATGTTTGACGACTTTCTAAATCTTTTTTATTTTCGGCACGTTTTCTTTTCTGATTACCACTTAATTAATTTCTATTTTTATCACGATCTCTACTCGCACTCATTGCCAATGTTCTAAATCCTAGAAAAACAATATAATAATTGGAAAATTTGAAAAACTTACTTGTGTCAGTAAGTTCCAATCCCAAGTTTTAAAGTTATTATCACTATAACAATGTTTTTCTCTGTTGTTTTACAGTAACGGAGTGCCGAACGAAGTTAAATTAAAAAAAGTACCATTAAGCAGCATAAATTTGTTCAATTAAAACATTTATTAGCTTACAATATGCTCAAGTGTTTAAATGTTCTATGCTATGCTAACTACACCAACCTGACCTGGCGCCTAGCTAGAAAGGAAAATTGTGTGCCATGGAGGGAGAGCACAAGAGCTTTGCTGTGGCATATGAATGAAAGTAAGTGATGTTACGTTGTACTGTACGTGTCCGGACGAGGCTGTGGTGTGCATGGCCAATTGTATCCTTCCGAAATTGCCGCTCTCATAAATCCATTCCTAATGTTAGTGTACAGTACCTATCTCAGTGGGAAATTAAGTACTGTACATTGGCGTTTGTTCCTCCTGCAGCTCGCACTAGCAGTACGGGCTGTCCTCAACGTTGAACGCGTGCATATATTGCTTGAAATTACCGTGGCTTGTAAGAAACGGAGTGAGGGTAAAGCATGGGAAAGGTGAAGATTTTATATCCTAGAATAATTAAAAATTATCAGACTTTCTAATGGTCAGTGGCTGATCAGGCCATGTTCCAGAATCGTGTGCCACAAGCGCATCAAGTAGTTGGTTTTGAGGATTTGTTGTTCTAAATACTAAGTAATGCTATGAAATCAATTTATAACTTAATGATTCTAATAATTGACTAAAATGCAGCGAATTTTACTGTTTGCAATGGATCCTTGTAGTTGATTCTAATAACCAGTGATCACAATAAATAATGCTTACCGTATATAACATAATACATGAATATGTATTGTATAAAGTTTCCTTTAGAAAAAATTTCAGTAACTTTCCCAAACGCAAAACTTTTGGCTCATTTGCATTTGATTTAAATAAAAGATATTTAATTTTCTTATTTATATTATGCAAATATTTTGAGGAGAGTTGCTCAACGAAGCTGCTTATGAAACTTATCGTACTGTATGGTCTTAGTGATACTAACACACAAGACACGTGTTGTAACTGGATTTTGCATATATAACAGATAATCCAATCTGCAATGTGGACGAAGATAGAAAGGGAGCAGCTGTGAGCAATTGATTTTTCACTTTATCTTTTTCAAATTTTTTTATAAACAAACTTTTTGTAATTTATTTCAATGTCCGTTACATCAAAATAACTAAAATTTTAAATACCAATGAACAATGCTCAAGATGAACTGAAAAATATGAGGGCAGAATTTTGAACGAACTCAGTCTTGAATAGCAGCATATGAATGCCTTTACTGCTTTGGTCATCCAGCCAACTGACACTTTCGTCTATTTATAGGCAGGCCAGAGCCAAAGTATTAAATGAAACTATCAGACATGAATTATATTTATTAAATTTTATTACAATAAACAAAAACGTGTAATGCAATTAATAATAGTCAAAAACAACTGTACACAGTTCTATATATGAGATGAAGTACTGTGAAATCACAGGAATTTAAGTACAGTGTTTGAAATCTAAATCTAAATGTTTTTTCTCAAATGTAAAAATGCACATAAATAATATATTTACAGGGATTTAAAGGATAACTTCTATACAAAAAAATTTTAGATAAAAGTTGATGAGCATTTTTTTTTTGTCCTTTTCTTTAGTTTAAAGTATATTGAAAAATATAAAACTTTGGTATCAAATGTACAAAGTATACTGTTAATTATGCCTAAACTGTCCCCATGGGACGTTTCGTGGTAAATGACATGTCTAACATGGGTGTCGGGATAATGGTGTGGATCCACTTTTCCTTATCCAGCATGGCTTGTCCGTTGCGATATAATGGTTCTTGTTTCTGATACCAGCTGACTGCATCGAAATTTGGAAAGAAAAATCCAATTTCTCTCCTAGCAGAGTCTGGAGAATCTAAAGAGACAAGTAAAAATTTTATTTTTAATACAACTTTACTTAGAATATCAGTTAAAAATTTTGTATAAAAAATTATTATAGAAATACTTCTACACAGGATTGTCAAAAGCTTGGTATGGGGGCCTGTGATAAAAAAAAAGGGGGCAAAAGGAGCCTATTCTAACAAATGAAATGTATAGAATGTTTGTTTATTAATAAATTCAGCTAATAGAAAAACATATTAAAAAAAAAATCAGTGAAAAAAATAGATCAGATTAGAATTTTAAAATTTCTGATAGTCTATACATAAAAGATTCAAAACAAGACAGAGAAAGAAATACATTAATATATTCAAAAAATAAGATGCTAAACTAAACAATGAAGATAAACTTATTTTAAGTAACACTCCAGATTCGGTAAGCAGCAAGGAAGATGCTAGAAAAGGACAGATATTCCACAAGACAACTGTTAACATAACTCGATAAGCAAGCAAACAGATTCCACGTGAAAGTGGAAAAGTTAGTCGACGGCATAAAAAAATAGGCCAAGGAGAACAACATATTACATTTTCCTTGTCCGTCACCACAATGACTTGTATTCAAACAAAAGAATGGTTATATAGAAAAAGTTTGTTGTTAATTTACTATTTACTTTGGTCTATTATTGATTATTATTATTTTTTTGACATAGATTAGATTAAAATAATTAAATAATATAAAATATATAATGTTTACACAGAATTTGTTTAAATTTAAAATATGAATATGAAACAAAAAAAAATTATTTTTAATAGTAAATTTTGGTTTTATTTATTTAACTGATCTTATTGTAAATTTTTATAGTAATCCTCCTTGATCTTCAATTAGTACAAAATATAAAATGGCAAGATTTTGTAATATTAGTTTTCAGAAATATTATCATAAAATAGCTGCATTCTAGTTGCATATTTTGCTCTTGTAATATTCCATATTCTAAAGTGAATATTTCACTAACAGTTTGATTTTTTCCATTAAATTGGAAAGAATTAATCAAATTACTAGGCAAGAAATTACTAGGCTGCTGACTTTTATAAAACTATATAATATTTTGCAAATCATAGCACAGTCTATTTTAGTAATAATAAATTACATATAGTATAGTATTAGTACATACGTGGTACAATCCAAAAGTTTGGGGACTACAGTAATGTATGACAACAGAAGCACGTATTTGAAGTTACAGCGTATGAAATTGATTCTATCAAACCTTTCCTACGTGTTCAGGTTCATTTTGCCCATGTCACGTGATTAAACCACGAGTGCTGTTGTTTTCTTTCGGAGATAGTTACCTTTGTTTTGTGACATAATAAAAATGGAGTTTCAAGAACAGCGCTGCAACATTAAATTCTGTCAGCGTTTACGTAAAACACCTACAGAGACTTTAAAATTGCTAAGAAAGGTGAACGGTGATTTTACCATGGTGAAATCAAAGGTGTACAAATGGCATCGGTGTTTTAAAGAGGGCCGAGAATCCATTGCAGACGATGAATGCTCTGGCCGACCTTCAACTTCACGGAACGAGGAAAATGTTGAGTTGGTCTCTCAATATGTTCGCAAAGATCGTCACCAAACCCTTGAAAAAACTGCTGCGGCTACTCAGTTATCAAAGACTAGTTGCCAGCGTATTTTAACGGAAAATTTTAACATGCACCAAGCAAAGGAAAAGTCATGATGGAGGTGTTTTTTGATTCTCAAGGAATTGTTCATTCAGAATTTATTCCCGAAGGCAGAACAGTAAACAAGGAGCATTATCTAGACATTTTATGTTGTTTGAGGGAATTCATTCGTCGTAAATGGCCACAGATCTGGCAAAGTGGAGACTGGTACCTTCTGCACGACAACTCAAATTAATGTGCTTCCACACCCTGCCTATTCACCGGACTTAGCTCCATGTGATTTTTATTTGTTTCCATCAATGAAAAAGCATTTGCAGGGACGCTGTTTTGTGTCATCAGATGAAGTGAGAGCAGCATTGCAGGAGGCCTTATGGAGGGTTCCAAAAAATGGCTTCCAGAAGTTATACGAGTGCCAACAAAAGTGTATCGTTGCCCAAGGTGATTACTTTAAAGGTGGTTATGCATCGGCAATATAAACTTTTTAAGGTAAGGAATTTTAAGCCAAGTCCCTGAACTTTTGGATCATACTATGTATAAGTGTACGCATGCAATCTCACATTTATGAAACTGTTAAGTATTGACTGATTAAAAAAGTGGAAAAAACTTTGACAGATGTATTTTCTTTTTAAACTCTTTCCACTCTGAGCACTAAATGGTCTTGCTAAAAATGCCCTCCACGAGTTTGGCCAGATATGTTGGGCCTATCTGTTGCCTGGCAGATCCGACATATCCGAATGGGCCACCTCTGAAAAATCCCGGGTTTTTCAAGTTGTCCATATTCAAACCCAAATCCTAAGAATGATAGGCTGCCACTCGGCCATTTGGCTGTCTGTCAAATGTATTATAAATGCCAAGTCATTAAATCCTAGCAAGTATTCACAATTAGAATTTTAAATAGATGTACAGTAGATTTCAAATTTAAAATTGAAGGGCTTAGAACCAGAACTACATAACTCATCATATTGACTTTGTTGGATATCAACAAAATTAGTCTTTAAAATTTCCAGTAAATCCAATGGCAAATATATGATTTAAACAGTGTCATTATATTATTATGAAATATAACTCAGACATTTAAATAGAAGAATTTTCAGAAAGTTATAAAATCAATAACAGACAAGGAAATTTCATTGAGATACTAAAAGATAGTGAACATATTTTCTCAACAGACTGATGACTGGAAAATAAGGCACCTATCCCTGAGAACCCGAGATCAAATCCAAGCAGTCGATTGAAAACAAAAAAATAATAATAATAATTACCACAAAATTTCATCACTCTCACCTGATCCATGTGTAGCATTTCTAGTATCTGTCAAACCAAATCTGGCACGTATAGAATCAGGAGATTCATACTGTGCTCTGTAAAATCAAATATAATTCAATAATTCAGTTTTGAAATTATTAATACTGTGGTTTGATAAACTAAACTAATCAATTGTAATTTCAAATCTTGCAAGTGTAAGTAATTGAAAAAAAGTAATTACTTGAAAACTTTTGTTGGTCCCATCAATTTTCTCCAATGTTGAATCGCATTTTCACGAGCTAATACGTGTACTGATATCATACCACTAAAATCAAATATTAACACATTAGCATCATCTTAAATAAAAAGGAGAAAAACTTATTTCTATTATTACTTTTGAATATTCTTACCTGGACATAAATGAGACCAAGCGTTCAAAGAAGAACTTATCTATTAATAAAGTTAAAAATTCATGCATAAAAATATAATCGGTATATTTTTCTTAATTATTTTTTTCTCTTTTATAAGAATAATTCATTACTTATTTGGCAATTTATTGAGAGAGTTTTATTCTATATAAGCATAAAATAAAATAATTCAAATATTTTCATGAAATTATTTTCAGAATATTCAAAAAATAAAATTTAAATACCAAGTGAGCAAAGCTTTATCACAACTTTGATTAAATAAGTGCTAGAGATCCAGGAAAAAATGGCAGCAAGAAAAAGAAGGGTCCGAAATCTATACAAACCTACAACCTACAGAAAATTTTAGAACTGACTGGCATCAATCCTAACTTAGAACTGACTTACTATAATGTACTAAAACAAAGCAGTAAGATTGCATTGATTCCTGTACTAAGAATCAATGCAATCTGACTGCAATACTATTATGTTGTGAGGATGCATTGAACAAGACAAACGAACCTTCCTTTTTGTTAAAATATGAAGAACATCTAAATGTTTCAAAGTCAGTAGATGTTGTATGACGGACCTTTTATTCTCATCTATAATGTCTACCTCTAAATATTACATTATTTTGTAAGATGGAGACATTGTAAATTTTATGAAAAAGAATTAGTTTTGCAAATCTGCCACATACCATTACAATAATTTGGCTTTCATTTATACTGATTCAGCATCTTCAAGAACCTTTGTCATCATCATCTTCAAAAATCTAATCCTGCACAAAACTAATTCCGTGCCAAGGTTAGTTTCATTCTGTACATTATTTTGAATATAAAATCTTTTACCAGTGAAATTTACTAAAAAAAAAAAAAAATACCCTCACAAATTTAGTGCTTTTTCACATTAATTTATGTATTTTGAATAAGAATCAAAATTTTTGTAGGAGAGTCAAATAATGTAGAGCTTTTAAAATCAGACATTTTCTTTGGAAAAATAGAAAACATTCATTTTTAAATGATTTTTAGCCTTTAGAATTTAATCACATGCAAATACAAATTGATACACACTATTTCTAATTGGGATAGTCATTCTAAATCTGATAACAAGAAAATACTTTGGAATAAATTTTAGAAAGTTTGATAATGTTCCAAGATGCAATCAACTGTTCTGCATCTGGTTAGAGAGACAGAGAGAAGGGAAAATATATGTTCTAAGCAGAAACACTTACAAGGTTAATTTTCTATTAAGAGATTTTAAATTTAATTTAAATGTACACTACAGAATATCATTTAAAGTCTTTTAAAACACTCAATAACAAAGTTTCTGCAAGTAACTGAAGTTGTTTTCATAGTTACATTTGTAATTTGGAATTGATATATTATTAAAATATCTTATTACATTTATCTTCCATACAAATTTTTCTTTTTTTTTATTTGATTATTATTTTGTGAACGAATACGGGACTAAGAAGAGTTCTCGCGTTGCATGTTGCGACCGAGGACGAGCAACGGGACAAGACGTTGCGAAGATCAAACCAAAAGAGATTGAACTGCTACTCGACCAAATTATTTTTTCTAAATTAAATTTCGAGTAAATTGCTATTATTTAATATTTTACTTAAATATTATGTAATTATTTAAATGAGATACTATTTCATTAAAAAAAAAATATTGTTTATAGTATTTTTAAAATATACAACATATAAATTTCTATCACAAAGAGAAAAAGTTTTGCATTAGTTATTTGAAAAATTAAATGAATTTAACAAGAATTTCAAAAGTTTAAAACTAAAAAGTTTAACATTTTACGTGTCGTGGAAACAAGTAACTGGTTAAAAATAACCTAGTGGATAGCCGAGCCATCCGTATCACGGTCCAACAACATACTGACCTTCAAGACTATTAAAAGAGAAAGTATGTATCTGGAAAGTGCAGAACACATTGAAGAGAGTTCTATAAATTTTAGAATCTGACATTTCTAAAACATTAATGTACTTTTTGGGATAAATTTAGTAAAAAATTATCAAAATATTAAAAAAACAAGAAACTTGAAGAAATTATACTTCTATTTGATGTAACAATCAAGAACTTCATGCAAGAACTGTAGAACATTCCTTCATTCTTATACATCAATGTACTGTACTTATCTCTCAACACTAGCTTAAACGATATTATACATTATTGTTATTAAAGTTTACTTTATTAGTTTTGTAGTAGACAAAATAATCATTAATTATTACACAAAAATTTCAACAATTGCTTAATAACTGAATAAACAAATGATTTCCTGAGTGAAGTGCAATCAAACAAAAAAAAAACCTCACTCTGTATAATTATAAGTACTCAATAAACTAAATGTCAGTTTGAATTATAAATAGCAGCAGAACTTTTCCTTTGTTGCCGACACGTATTGAGACTATAAATGTAATTCTTCATACAATAAAAATAATCAAAATAGGAATAAATTTAATGCTTAAAAGTATATTCTTTTAATTAAAAGTTTTTTTTCAAAACGAAAATATTTCAGATAGCTCGAGCACATTCCGTATCGTGCATCCACAAAACGGGAATTGACAAGAGAAGATAGCAGATTGCTACTAACTGATACATTAATTCCGCTAAAAGATACAAGATAATCGTCACGATTGATGTATTATTATTAATAGTAATCATTACGTATCTAATAAAAATGAATGGACGTGCAATATACTGTAATTTTACATTGTAAAAATGTTATAACATTGATATAGATAATAAAAGTAATATTTATAATGGAAAATAACAGATAGATGATGATAAATTTGAGATAACATTACCGATTTTTACATTTGATAAAAAGTTAACAATGATAAATTATTACATCTCAATGTAGAGAAATAGAAACTAAATTTAAAAATTATCTAACAAATTAATCCAGGTTATCACTGACTCCAAACAAGAAGGAAAGGTTAAATTTTTTCTTTTTTATCTTATATTATAAACATGAACTTTAAGTAGAGTACTGATACGACCTGACGATTACAAGGATTAATCTGCACCACATGACTTCTAAACTTAAAAAGATTAAAATTTATCTTGTAAGTTATAAAGACTTATCTACAAACTATTTATACTCTACGAAAACATGCTGAAAACAGAAAATATTTTTAACTAGATTCATATTTTACGAAATTAAAACTGCAAACTTTCTAATTAAACTTAATTAGAAATAATTATTACAGTTGGGAAACTTACTTTTGTGTTCGTCGTAGAATCTTTCTGCCTTCTCTCGACTTAGTCTAGTGGTATCAGTTTGGATAAAATAGAAATTGTTATCCAGAATGATCTGCCTGATCATCTGAAAATAAAATTAAATACTTTATTTTATTTAATAATTTACACTAAAGCTTATTATTTTAAACTCGTGCATTTCTCCACTATCGATAATACTTATAAATCCTTCATCTTATCAAGAAGTTTGGAATCAAAAATTGAGGAAGATCGACACTTAATCTGTCACATCATGTAGAAAAAAAATTAAACTTCAACTAGTATATTCTATTTCTGATACTAATATTTATTAAATATATATTTTTAAACAGTTTTCTTAAGTTATCTTATCCATTAAAATACACCAAAACCTGTTTATGTAACAGGATCTGTGAAAACTGGTGGCACAAAATAAAAATACATAAATATTTATGTATTATATAACATAAAAAAAAATAAAAGTTTATAAAATGTCAAGAAGGTTATCAACTTTGTTTTTTTCTATTTTTTAAAGTTAAGCACATGTTAATTTATTACTACTGTAAGCAAAAATATTGCATATGTATAAACATCAATATTAATACATCTGTCAATAAAAATGATTTTAAATTATTTCCTCCAAAAGAATCATTCTACAGTCGAAAATTTGATTACTTTTTACTGCTTTAAATAAGTTTAAGTGAAGATGTTTTTGAAATGGAAACAGCAACTTAAACACTTGAAAAATCTTGAATCCATAATATTCTTTATTCAAAAATCAAAATATTAACATTTGTAGTTTGAATTACAGCATTATAAAGACAATATATTAATCATTTTGTCTTTAGTTCATTTCTGTTTATTACATTATCAACTACAATTGAAATGACAAGATTAAAGTTAAAGAGATTTAATTTTTAACTTTATTATTATTATTATTTATAAAACAAGAAAGAGTATTGGTATCAACAGTTTTTAATAATAACTGCATATAAAGATTCGAGTTATAAGCTTTTATTTTAAACAAGAACAAGGCAGGTTTAAACAAACAGCTGAAACATTTCAGAACCAACTTAGTATATAAAAAGTCTCTTAGAAATTCTATAGGTAAGACTCAAAATCATTTTTGGATCTTTAGACACTTTGATCTTAATCTGTATCTACTCACAATAGGGAATTTGGAAAATTTTCCCTCAAGCCCCAAGAAAATTTACGGGGTTTATAGCAGTTCCAGTACTTATAGGTTAGCAGGATGCCAGTCAATTGATGCAATCTAACTCTAACCTAAACCTAAACATAAAAACTAAACCTAACCTACCCATTTGGAAATCCTCTCTGAACCAATTATCAACCGAATACATGCGAGTTGGATCGCATCAATTGACTGGCGCCCAGCTAACCGGAAAGTACCGCATTTCCTACTCCTATCAATGTGTTATTCTTACTGCTTTTTATTAATAAAGAAATTTTCTATGTATTTCATTTGTCCAAAGAAACAATAATAACGGTTAAAGAGATCCACCCTGCTCCAAACTCCATAAAAGCCAAACATAACCTGTAGCCTATACAGTATAAATCTTGTTTATATAAGTTGCAGATGAAGATCCAACATTGTAGGTTAATTCGTAAATTTAACGATTTATTAGGAATGAAGAGTATAAGTAAATTATACTTTTCATTCTTAATTACAAATTACCTAAAAGTAGTTTCTAAAAGTTATTCGCACATGTAAATACTATTAAACTTCGTGTAATTAATATATTAAAAGGAAAATACGAATAAAATAGCAAGAAGTAGTAGAGATTTCTATTAGGAGACGAACTGGCAGGTAACCAGAATGGTCGGTTGCTACCAAGAAGTGAATGAAAATAAACTAGAACAAAGAAAGTAAAGGCAGGAAAAAATATGGATTCCTTACTTGTATATCGTGTGGATGCCTACATACGTCGGGCTTCAATATGGCTAGAGTGAGCTGAAGAGGTTTGGCTATTTTACTCGCTGGATTCATTTCGCTTCGGTGACCAATTACCTAAATGATACGAACAGACACGTTGGACATTTTTAAACTGTTTATCCTCATGCGGGAAGTAAGAGCGTGATCAGCTGACAACTGTGCACGTGATATTTCGCAGTCGAAGGTTCTTCTCCATAAATGATCACGTGCGCCTAAAGCGCCGCTGATAAACAAATTGTTCATTTTTAGAAAAAAAAAAAATTATTATTACAGAGCATATAATGCATTGTATAATGGAAAGGAAACAATAGAAATGATTGAATGTGCATTGTTGTGTCACATAATATGAATGATGATTTAAGATTACATCATGCATGCTAATTAAATTTAAGTATAATAATTACTAATATTTACTCCAATGTTTTAAGAAAATACAAAATTTGAATTATGTAGCTTTAAATTGTTATAAGAAAAAAAAAATGTAGCTTTTTTNTTTATAAGTAAGAATTATTTTAAGCGTACGATCACGTACAGAATATCGCGGATCACGTGATCGATAAAGGCCGCTTTAAATCAACGACCTTGGGTTTAATGTAAACATCACCGTTGGACCTTGTTACCTTTTTTTTATTTTTAACTTATTATTTTACTCTTAAAAAGCTCGTAAGAATGCGAAAAACATCCCCGAAAATATTCAGTAAACACGCTCATAACTGCGAAGAGATAAGCTTATGAACGAAAATAGCAGGTTGTTACTGAGTAAACCTAGACCCAGTTCGACATATTATTTTAAAAAACAACAACAACAACAACAGCTTAAAATAATGTTGTCTTGTTTGCGTTTACATGAACAACTTTGCCAAAAAAACAAAAAAAAAAAATGGCGGCGAAGGAAGAATTTTCGTTATCGCAGTTTGAACTTTGAATTCGAATCTCCTTGATAAAAATGAAAGTCACGTGTTTGTTACGATCCCTTTATCAAAAGGCTATAATCTTCTACAAGATTAAAATGTATACACTCGCAGGCTCAAAAAATATCCTTCTAACTTTTAATTTTTAGGCTAAATCTTACAGTATGGGCTATATAGGATGCATCAGTCTGTGGATAAAAATATAACACATAATCTCTTAATTTCTTAATTTATAAGAACGTAAAGGCTCATCTACCTTTCCTAGGCTTATTTCTAAAGGTTGCGAATGTAAAAAGCCTTAAAACGTATGAGTAGAGCGGCCATATTGTTATTCCAAAACCAGGATATTATTTGAGAGAGTAAAAAAAAATGGATATAAAAACGGCTAAACTTAGATTATTTTTTTTATATATTGACCTAAAAAAATGATTATATTGCACTATAAGACCTATAAAATGGTTCTATTTAAAATTTTATTCTATTTTTGACGGGAGAAATCTGGAATTGTCCCGGAAAATCGGGACTTATAGTTAACCAATCCACATAGAAATTTAAAGGCTCATCACCTAACTTTCCTAGATTTATATAGAAAGATTACTTCAATGGGTTTTTTTTAAATCTGGAATTCCTTTCGATTCATTAGATTTTACCGAAATATCAGAACTTCTGTGTGTCTGACTGTTTTTATATAGGCCTATATTAATTCATTTTTCATCGATCTAATCTAACTTCCAACTTTATTGATTGGCATCTTCGTGTATTTAAGTGTCATAGAATCCTATTTTGTGCGTTTCGAGTTATAAAAATTCGTAGATAAGGTCCTACTCTAGAAATTCTAGTTCTACAAACCCATTTATACAATTACAATGGAAAATAATTCAAGAAAAAAAGAAAAAAAAAAACATTCCGTAATTAGTTACATCATTATGAGGTAAACACTTTACGAGTGACACAAAATACATTAGCTTTAAATTACGCACCGTTACACTCCGTTTTATTAACGAATTAACGCAAATTTCGATGCGTAACCGTTCGAAATTTAATAATTTATTATCACGTTACTCAACGTAACACTACATTCTAGTGTAAAGTCTATACATAGAATACATACAGACGTACGAAACGTTTCGTGCTTAAAAATTTGCAATTGTTTAATACAGAAATTGCATTAAAAGTCAACGAACCGAATTAAAGCGCAAATATATCACGTGATATCAGAAAAAAAATTCCATTAAAAACACCTCAACGTCACCCTCAAACACAAAAATAGTATTCTAGAGATAATATCGGTTCTAGTATTTAGAGCATCCGACTCTAATAATAAAACCACGATGTATAATGCCTGAAACAGTTAAATTAAATACAGTTATACGCTTTAAAACTTTATAAAAGTTATAGAACACCTAGAAACAAGTGCCACATACAAAAATACCACGTTGTAAGAGACTTATACTATAAATAAATGCCGTTAATATCCGGGATGAATCATCCGGCAGCCATGTTTTTTTTTTTTTTTTTCAAAATGTCTTCGCTGCGTATCGTCAATAATGATTTAGTGGTTTCTTCTCGTATTTACTTTTTTAGAAACTTCTATAAGACTTGTTTGAAGGGTGACGACGATAAGTAAACTGTCGTGAGGACCAACAAAGAAAATCGTGATTTTTGATTGAGTGATAGGCGTGTTTACGCATCGTAGTCAAGGACGTTTGCTTGTTGTTTCCTCGAGTATATTCATTTATTGATACGTGATTTGGAAACTAATCGTATATTTTTAGTGTCTAAGCTGATACTGATCATTTGGATGTTGTTCAAATTTTGTGGAGGTTGAAATTAATCGATACTGTTTTAATGTAGCAGCATTGAACGTGTTTTATAATGGTTTTTTTTCTTTTAGGTAGGAAGGGTGGATCCGTTGCCAAAATGTAAATTAAGGAGAAGAGGAGAGAATCGTTAATTAATTTTAAATAAAAGGCAGAAATTTCTTTAGTGATATGCATAAATTTTGCTGAAGGAAACAAATCATACAAAGAACACACTAGTAATTGACTATTCCAGATTTATTGTACAGTACAAATGCATTTCCTTGTACTGTACAATATATTAGTTATAAAAGTGAAATTAGATAAATAAAGATTTATTGTACAGTACAAATGCATTTCCTTGTACTGTACAATATATTAGTTATAAAAGTGAAATTAGATAAATAATAAAGGCATATTATAGTTTAATAATTGTTTAGTTAGAAACAATAATGTTTTTACTGTCAATTTGTATGTTCAAACATAATCTTAATGATTAAATATATTAAAAACAGTGCACTTTTCAGGAATAGAAAAGGGAGATAAGACTACAGTAATATCAGATATGGGGGCCCTCATTTCTCCAAAGCCAGAAAAATAAAATAAAATTATATGAATTAAAATCAGAGTAATATTTAATAGTATAGTTTCTTTTCTTTTGTTCTATGGAAAAAAAGGCCATTTTAATCATATTCATTGTGGTTTGACTGGGCATAAGTTGAGGGATGATGTCCGAATATCTGGGACCACCATGAAAAATTCCTGGGGTTGCTCTTCCGGATTTGATCCAGATCTTCAGAAAGTTAGGCCAAAGCCTTAACTGTATTGGTTATCGACTTCACTTATTGTCTTTAAAAAAATTAAAATGTAGATTAAAATTTGGATCTGTATCTTAGGCCTTGGCTAAATAGGTCCCCTCCGTGATTTATTAATATTTTATTTATTTCATAAGACTTTATTAGGATAAAATTAGTACAGATTAAAAGAATTAATTTTCTCCTAATAAAAATTTCTAATATACATAAATATATTTGAGAAAAAATATTGACATCACATTTATGTTTCAAAACTCTAATAATGTTCTGTACCTTANTCATCTATCCAACTCCTTTCATGGAAAAATTTTTAAATTTAAAATATATGATCTCCACCTCAAATTAGTAGTGGCTTGCCCCTGTACATCATACTTTTCCATTAGCAATGGAGTTGTGCTGGTCCTCCTTTCAGGGGAACTTTTTAATTGAAATAATGTGACTTCCGGCTTGCGTTGGAAATTCTTATACGGTTAATCGGGACCTCCTGCCCCTAAGCTTTCCATATCTGCTCTCGAATTTCATTTATCTAACATCATTCTTGAGATTAAAGACAGACAGATTGATGACAGTGGGAATTTATAAGTCCACAACTTTTTCAAATTGCAACCCAACCAGCAATGATGACAGAAGTGTGGTTTATTTAAAAAAGAAAAACAATTATTGAGTCTAAGCTTTTTAGTAGAAGTGAAACAGAAGGAAATGTTAATGTTCAATTCAGTTAGTGCTGTTCAATATAATTAATTTTACATAATTAACGAGAAGATTACTGTAAGGATGGATCAATAAATAACTGGCACGGTCGATTACTTATCGATTCATCCTTATAATAAATCGAAGATTATCTGCATTTGATCTTTTGTCAAAAAGTATATAACTGCCTCCCTCGAAAGAGAATAAATGCCTAAATGTCGATAGTAAAAATGCAATCGTGCTCTTTAATAATCTTTACTTTATCATCATAAAACATAAAATAAATTTGTTTCGAATGACAATATTTCTTTTATAATACATCATCGTCGAAAGTTTATGTACATTAATTGTAATGATGAAATTATTTACAACTAATGCAAGTTTTACAAAACTTAAGTGTCGAAAGCAGAAAGTTCTGGATATTTTTAAGTTGAGTGACTTATTATTATTATTTTTTTTTGTTTTCTGGATTTCGCTCGATCGATTGGCACACATATCCAAGATAGATATTTTAACACATGATTTAAGTTTCTTTTTAGATATATTTCTGATTTCCCAATAGCTTTTGTAACCGACTTTTTCTTTTTTAGACGTGAAAGTGACCAAAATATGAAATTGAAAAGAAAGAGTCACATTAGATGTGTCGAGTGTACTCATTTATTGGACATGATTGAAGACAACTGCTGACTACACCAGTGCAATACGGACATTGTATACTGTTGTATTAGTTCGATGGTGTGGACTGCATATCTCTGCAGATTTTCCGGTGAAAGCTTCCCACTGAAAATATAAAAAGAGAACTCATTAATTAAAATTATAGATTAATATAACTTTCGTTTGATAAAAATACAATTTTATAAATGTATTATAAGAAAAATTGTCTATAGAATATTGCTTGGATCTAACGGTTACATTTTCCCCAAGACTTATAAAGAATTTCAAATCATTAGATTGTGCATTATATTCTGATAACAGAATAGAATATAAAATATCAGAATATAGGATAAAATTTTAAAATGATGTAGTATTATGCCACGTATTGTGATCTGTTTTTATAAGTACTTTAGTACTATTTCTGCAAATACAAACATTTCCTACTTAATGTCTGTAATCTGTTCCTGAAAGTTGGATGTTATGCAGGAAAATCAACAGAGAGCCTATTTCCAATTATTTTAAATGGGAATATTATAATGCATTACAATCTCGATCCAAAATGCCAAATGAACTTCCAAATGCAATGGCCTGTGATTATGTTACAAATGTAACATGATAACATAAAATACCTAATATTACTGCTTTCTGATCACCATGTCATAAATATAACACTTTAAACATTGCATTTACAACATGGTACTGCAATTAATATGTGGCAGAGAAAGATTTGCTTTTTTAATAAAAATTCAGACAACAATTTATGATTAAAAATGTGGAATTATCACGCACGTGTCGCCAACACTTCTGTAATGGGACAATTAAATGAATGTCGTTAGTGCTGTCACAGAAGCATATTTAGAATTTCTGCTCTAGGAGGCATTGGTAGAACATCAAAAAAGAACAATCTCTTATAGAATTACCATATTTTATGGCATAGAATATTTAGGAAAAAAATATTTAGTGTATTTAATTTAAGCTAGCTTGCATCTTTGGCACTCAGCTCAAATTGTTTTACTGTATTCTGGCTAAAAACAAAAGTAAAATCAGAATGCCACATTTATCAGAAAAAAGAAGAGTTTAAAAGAAGTCATTTAATATTAAAATAATCTGCATGAATACATGACAAAGCTGCTTATCTATAACAAATAATATGTTTAATTAAACAGTAACATTTTTAATAAAATACAAAAATGCAGAAGGTATAAAATGTCTTTCCAATCACCAGCAACAATCAATCTTCATCTATAGACAACCTTTGTTGCTGGTGATTGCGAAGACGAATATCTGAAGACATTTTTATTCAAGATTTGAGCTAGGTAGAGGGTACCTAGGCTAAGAAAGGTGGTTTGAGAAATTCATTAGCCCAAGAGTGATTGAAATTTCATGTTAAGATATGGGGAAATTTTTCAGCCGTTTGTTTTTTGGAGAAAACAACAACAACCTTTGAAGAAAATTTAAAAAGTCTGTTTACAATTACAATTGTAAGACCAAGCACAGAATGTTTCATTCTCTTTAAGAAATATTAGAAATTTATGCAATTCAAATATTAGTTAACGTAGTAAGTTAAGGTTTTAAGGAGAAAAAAAATTCAGAACAAAATCCTTAGTTTATTCAGCTCTAATTCTAAGAAAAATATCTTTAAGTTTCTCACAACAGGAAACTAATTATGAAAAAACTAAATGATTGTAAGACAGTTAAGCATGGAAAATAGTTGATGCATTAATTGCAACAATGCTAGAATAATTGGAAAGATTTTTAATGAGCAAAACACCTAAAATATCTTAATAATTGTACTTATTTCTTAAAATACGTACAATTATTAAGATATTTTATATAGATTACAAATGTTTCTTAAAACATTTGTGTTCTATATCACTCTTATGCAATTTTCCATCTGACTGAACCAAGCAATTATAATTTTCTACTTGGTTTGATCAAATGAAAAATTGCAAGGGCAATGATAAAAACACTCTGAGAATGTCTGACTTTTCATACCCAGAAAATAAAATCCTTAATTTTACCATTTCAAATACTGATAGAAACTCTTCACTTAATTTTCTATATTCAAAATTTCATACAAAAGTCAAAGAAAAAATTTTTTGAGTATCAAAATTCATGTGTGTTTAGAGGTTAACAAATATTTTACAACTTATTGTTACTTTGTTCTTTCTTCTTAAAACATCCATGAACTTAAACCTAATCAAACATAATGAATAATTTGAAGTATTTCTGTGCTTTTTTGTATTATATTAATCTATGGTTATGAGTTCTAAATATTTCATTTTTCTATTGACTGACTGACTGACTAACTAACTGTTATTGCACCTTTTCGTAAATCACTTTCACACAACAGTATCTATTAATGCTACACTTCCTCCTATTTACATTTAAGTTCTATACAATATGTTTTTTCTGTTTTTTAACCTATTTCATGTTTTTAATTGTGAATGGTTGTAATATTGAATTAATAAATACAGAACATCCATCTTCCAATACAGGCAAATGAAGAGTATTTGTATTGGTAACTAAGAGAAATTTTATAAAAGACATTAAGCTTTTACTGTTGAAAACAAGAAATTGTAAGGGCTAGATCTTGACAGAAAGTATTATTCCAGTAGGCATCAGTCTTAACCAAAACTGATGCAGTAATAAGCTTCTGCTGGAATACACAGAAGAAAACAGCACTACATTGGCATTTGCAGATTTATTTTGTCAAAATAACTTAGGGCTAATACAGATGAGTGGTTAAAATGATGTTAATAAAATATAATGGAGGATATTGCTTCATCAGAGCTCACCACGCCAAAACCCGTAACATAAACATGTGCAGTGACTGCACATCAGTCACTGCACAGACAAACTCAATGAATATTGGAACACATTTTAGTACATTGCAGTTCACAAATGCACTGTTTGATGCATACTGTACCCAGTATAATAAATGAATGACTGTTCATTCCTAGAATTCTTAAACAAAGTGCTTGACTTTCATTAATCTATAAGAGAATGCAATCTTGATAACATTTTGAAGATAACATTGTCATCTTCAAACATATCTGATAATTTCCTTGTTTGCATACAATAGGAAGTATTCATATACAAGTATGAATGTTTGCTTGTTAAATCTTAAGCATTATGATGCACCATACACCTCTTAGTTTTGAAGAAAAATCTGACAACTAATTTTACTGAAGATAATTTTCATAAGTTAGGAAAAAATACTGACTTATCTAGTTTCTGTATTATACTGATATATCCATTACCTATTTCATAAACAATGCTAATTTATCGATCAATCAAGAAATGATATTAATATATACAGATGCTAGATAGTGCAGTTAACAATATAGTACCTTTCAGATGACTCTTTAATAGCTATTTAAGATATGTAAAATACAAGTTTTAATACAGAAATAGAATACTAAAATAAAATCATCACAGCAGAGTTTGATGAGCAATTTCTGAAAGACATGGCAGTGCTCATGGGTGACTGATTAATGCTCATACATATTTTATCCATCAATAAACTGGTTCAGAAAACAAAAATGCAAATTCTGTTCTAGAAAGTCAAAATTTGCATCTTAGAAATTTAAAAATATATTGCTAATACCTTCAATTAGCAGTTATCTTAACAATAGTTCAATTTGCTCCTCCATTAACCAAAATTAACATGTAAACAACATTAATTAGTGTTTACCGATAAGAAACTGCTGGAATCATGCCAATTATGAATGTAAACAGGATGCGCTAGTGAGACGACAGTAAAATTACCGAGGTGGCAAGAGAATTTTTTTATCTGTAGTTATATTTAGTTACTTGGGTTGTTTGCTTTTTTTCACCTATTTCCTTTTAGAGGTTGTTTTGTTAACTTGACAAAAGTATCAATTCTTCCCTGCTTACGAGCTAATTTGCATGTGTTGATATATTAAAATTGCATTCCACAAAAATATCAAAATGGTTTTATTAATAATGAAAAAATAATTATTGTAAAAATGTTATAACATTGATATAGATAATAAAAGTAATATTTATAATGGAAAATAACAGATAGATGATGATAAATTTGAGATAACATTACCGATTTTTACATTTGATAAAAAGTTAACAATGATAAATTATTACATCTCAATGTAGAGAAATAGAAACTAAATTTAAAAATTATCTAACAAATTAATCCAGGTTATCACTGACTCCAAACAAGAAGGAAAGGTTAAATTTTTTCTTTTTTATCTTATATTATAAACATGAACTTTAAGTAGAGTACTGATACGACCTGACGATTACAAGGATTAATCTGCACCACATGACTTCTAAACTTAAAAAGATTAAAATTTATCTTGTAAGTTATAAAGACTTATCTACAAACTATTTATACTCTACGAAAACATGCTGAAAACAGAAAATATTTTTAACTAGATTCATATTTTACGAAATTAAAACTGCAAACTTTCTAATTAAACTTAATTAGAAATAATTATTACAGTTGGGAAACTTACTTTTGTGTTCGTCGTAGAATCTTTCTGCCTTCTCTCGACTTAGTCTAGTGGTATCAGTTTGGATAAAATAGAAATTGTTATCCAGAATGATCTGCCTGATCATCTGAAAATAAAATTAAATACTTTATTTTATTTAATAATTTACACTAAAGCTTATTATTTTAAACTCGTGCATTTCTCCACTATCGATAATACTTATAAATCCTTCATCTTATCAAGAAGTTTGGAATCAAAAATTGAGGAAGATCGACACTTAATCTGTCACATCATGTAGAAAAAAAATTAAACTTCAACTAGTATATTCTATTTCTGATACTAATATTTATTAAATATATATTTTTAAACAGTTTTCTTAAGTTATCTTATCCATTAAAATACACCAAAACCTGTTTATGTAACAGGATCTGTGAAAACTGGTGGCACAAAATAAAAATACATAAATATTTATGTATTATATAACATAAAAAAAAATAAAAGTTTATAAAATGTCAAGAAGGTTATCAACTTTGTTTTTTTCTATTTTTTAAAGTTAAGCACATGTTAATTTATTACTACTGTAAGCAAAAATATTGCATATGTATAAACATCAATATTAATACATCTGTCAATAAAAATGATTTTAAATTATTT